CCCCCCCCCCCCGTACCCCTTTTCTTTTCATTTCAAATATCCCTAGGGTGATCCCATTCCTCTGTACTTTGTATGTGATGTAATGCAACTTAATTTGGAATGAAATAAAGTTTATATTAATTCCAAAACAAATGATTGGGAGAAATATTTTGGACAACAAAATACCGAATGGTCGACAAAACAGTAATTAGAACTCAAATCGATAAACTAGGGTACAATTTTAACAAAGAAAACAAGAACAACATTGGAAAATACAAGGAGAATAAGACCAGGTGTTCGGGAAGGTACTGCGTCATCGACGAACCCGCCGTAAAAATATGGGTCAAATCCCAGTGATGTCATGTCCTCAAAGCAAACAGGACATATTAATGAGCACAAAGACATCCAACCTTCATATCAAGCAAAGAAACAGCAAATTTCTAAGTTAGATGATGATGATGGGGACCCTAAAACTCGCCCACATTCTTATTCAAAACATGTTTGAAGCTCTGTGTTGTTCGACTGAGGGTATATAGATCGACGCAGTCAATACATTTCTCGTTGTTTAAGGTAGCACACCTGCGATATACCTGAGAGTGATATTAAAAAACTTCGCTTAAGGTTTCGTTACCAGTCCCGATAAGCTCTTCAAGGTTCTGCAGCAGTTTAATCGTGTTAAATTATCTTAATGTTCTTGCTGTTGATTTTTAAATATCATTTTGATTTGTAGTATCCTTTTTTTGTTATTTCAGATTCGTGAAGGAAGTTGCCAACAGAAAGGTACGTTTGATTTAAACACTACACAACAACACTTATATATGACTATCGTATTGTATATCTAGTTCCGACATAAATCCTAATTGTATAATAAGTTGTCATCATTCAGGTTACGTAAAAACCGATTCAAAAATCTTGGATTTCAGGCTACGTAAAAACTGACACAGAGATATTGGTTTTCAGGTAACGTACAAACTGATTAAAAGATCTTGCTTAAACCTAACCGTATTTCAGTAGTAGCAAACAATTTAGTCTGATTACTTTATATGATATACAGTATGAAAGCAAAACCAAAGTTTAAGGATACGGCCTCAATAAATGACTGGTACGCATGTTAGGGCAACGTGCATGTCCACTTTAATAGTAGGCACGTGTATGTGAAACTTATAATAAAAATGTATGTGTGTGTATATGAGATCTAACGAGGCGTACGTGGGTGTGATATAACGACAGGAACGTGTAATAGAGTCACGTACATGCCCGATATAACAGTTGGCACATGTATGTGATCGAGAGGCGCGGAAATGTGAGTGTTAAAAAGAAAGACACGTGTGTGTTCCTTAGTAACAAGAGGCACCTGTGCATCTGATACATCGAAATACACGCGTATATATGTGTGTATATGATATAACGGAAGGTACGTTTGTGTGATATAACAAGAGACACGTGTGTCTGATACATCAACATGCACGCGTGTATGTGTGTATAACGGGAGGTACGTGTGTGTGATATAACGAGAGGCTTGTTCGTGTACATGTCTGATGTAGTGATACACGTGTTCATGTGCAACACTCGCGTGATACGTGTTCTCATTATACGAATTCGAATCATCTTCAGGCATAGTTTGTACACCTGCGTTGAATGTCCTAATTGTTGGCTTGTCCTAGTTTAATTCTTTTGAAGCATATCTTATTTCTCATTTGATGATGTCTTGTATAAGATCCAGAACAGCTTGACAAATATTTCAATCAGGACAATTCGTTTAAAATTATAATGTGACCCACTATACGATGCGACGAGGATTATACTTACTTTTTATCATCCTAAATAATCTGGAATGTTCTGTATCCAAAGCACGCACGCTAGATGAATTTGATATACAATGTCATTGACCTGAAAAACATCTTTTGCCCATGATCCTGTCCAGTGTAATATGACTTAATGTAGCAATTTGGCTGAATCCAAGAACTGGAGCATGGAGATAATGTATTGGCGTTATACATTATCGTGAGCACATGTCAAAGTTTAATATCAAGGACCCTTAATGTTATCTTCGAAAATCTGTAAGATAAACGCTTACAGACAAAAATCGTATTGACGTAATACATCATAGTCAAAAGATGTTAGGTTTAAATTAGGTCACGTAATGTAATCAGCAAAATTTCTTAAGATTAACACTAGCAGGTAATACTTGATATCTTCCTCATTCCGTTTCGCTAGTTGATAAGCCGGATGAGAAAATTGTAATGTGAGTACCCGACCTTTTAGTAAGAAAATTCCATTGGAGAGGCCATAAATCAACCCAAACGTCGTACGTAGACCACGTCAACACACACAATTCGAAAGCTTAATTTGTTTTTAGGGTGGGGAAAATAAGTCACATTCGAGTATACTGACACGCCATATGAGTATTATGGGGTACGTCATCACTTTGCTAGGTAGCTTAAGGCTCGCTGTCCCACTGCGAGATATGTTTTTTTCTAAATACTGTAGCCTCGCCTCAACTTCCATTTGGATACATTGGGCCAAACATTTCCGATTACTAGGTAGCTCAAACGATTAGAGCGATCGTACAACAAGCAGGGCCCAGTTGTTCAAACAGTGATAAGCATAATCAGTGACTCTTGAAAATTTTATTTTTTTGTGTATCTTTAATCACATCTATTAACCGAGTTCAAACTTTCCAGAGAGCACATATTGTTGAAGAGTAAACTACATGCAAAATTACAAGCTTTTACCTTGTATATTGACCAAATTATTAGTGGTTAAAAAATGTCGTTAAACCATGACTTAGCTAATCACCTTCTGAACAACTGGGCCCTGAAGTCCTAGGTTCAAATCCCTGTCTAGCCCCACTGAATGTTTGCATTGAAAATACTATTATTGTTTCTATTTTGTTTATACACTGTATCATTTTTATTATTTCTCGTTAAAGTCCCGTCAGGTATATGCTTTTTCATCGATTATTGATAAAAACTATAGTCGTGCCGGAAAAAGACAGTTCCTAAAATTACAGATTTTGGCGGTGTTACGGGGATTCCCGAGGTTCTATTCACATAACATCTACAATTATCAAACATTAGCAACAATAGTTTAATTCCTAGCGGGATACATGACACACGTTCGCATATCAGCATGTTTTTGTCTCAGGTATCTACTCATATCAATTTGTTGTTGATAAAGGTAACTTATTAGATTTCTAGAAATGTATGCCTCTCAGCAGACGTATTTTAACATAAAACAAAATATTTATTAAGTATTATGATTCGTATACCTGACACACTCGTTATGAAACAGGAAATCTGACTCACATCAGCTGCAAATGACAATATTTAACATCTATATTGTGTTACATGTAAAAGCATAAAGCACGAGACGCAACAAGACTGTTCTAACCTTGCATCATGTAAAGGTGCACAAACACAAGAAAATAACAGTATTCAGCTTACAATCAGTAAGCACTTTCCCCGTCAGAGGTAGTTTGGTTGCGGCCTACAAAATTATGAACAGCATGTAAGGTGGTACCAGAACTTTCACCAAACGATTTACCCAATATTGAAAAGTATCAAGCAGATTCTCGTGTATCACTGTAGATGAAACCGCTTCCAGTCACCGACACCGCTGATCGAGAAAATAGATCAGTGATCTCGGGCTCTGTGCCCGGAAACAGTTAAATAAGCGATGTAACGGCCCGTCTGTTCTTTATTTTGGATTAATCCGTGGTAAAAGGCTTTTGTATCAACTACCAAATTGATAAAGACGGTGAACCAATTACCTTCCGATGGATAATATACACGACCTGTAGTTTGGAGGCTAGTATTTTGTCTTTATTCAAACTTGATTACATATTGAGTCAAAGGCTTGTCTCCCATGTAACAGCTGTCGTGAACGTTAACGAATATTTATTGGGTATTGGGTTGTTATGGAAATATATGAATGTCACTTAAATGTCGCTTTATGGCAAAGTGATGCCATAGCAAATAAGATAACAACTCGTAAAATCCCACCTGCAAGTTGGAGATGTCGCCGCCACGTTGGGGTTCGATATCTGACTAGTATTTCTACCCTGATATCTGCTGATAGATAATGTTTATACCTTTCATTGAAGTGTAAGGCTCAGGTAATAGATGGTTATATATATAAGTACACTAAAAGATTTGTATTCACGAATGAACTGTTATCTGCTTTTTGGAAAAACCAAACATTAATTAAACTATATAACTCAGGCGGTATATTACGACAGGTGATATCATAGGCAGATTTGTGTGCGTATATAAACAGGCGGTACATAAAGACAGGTATTCTTTAAAGCACTTTTGACCGTTATTTAAGACAGAGCGCATCTGAATACTACTACTACTTATAATATACAACATTTATATAGCGCTCTATAAAATTTGTAAAATTACTCTATAGCATCTGAAGACATAATTTATTATACATTCTTTTAGAAATTTATTCACAATTATTTCATAAAAATATATTGCGTAATAATTGACTTTCATTTTTATAACTTCCCCTTCCCAGCTTTCTATTAACCTGGTTTCGTCTCCATTTCTTTTCTTTCGTTTTTTGTAAAGTTCCTTATGTTTAAATGTCCCCCTTCTTTATTCCAGTGTGACCCCGTATATCATTTGCTCTTAAATGAAATCGGTATGACTTTGATGCTATATTTTTTCACTGCATTAACATAAATTGTGACACATACTGCCGGTTACTTGAGTTATGTAACATCGGACCACAGACACAGCCAATGAAAAGATGAATACACACATACTACAACGTTTCTGTATTAGTAACCAGATTGATCATGCCACATGAAAAACCGCAAGGCCGTATCGCAAGGTCGTATGTCAAGGACGCATTCAATCAGTTATATAAAACTGTATGTTTTGATGTCGTCCTATAAACAGAAATATTAAACCCTTTTTAATTTGGGCAGTCTCGTGTTTATTTGGTAGGAACGATATACTGTGCCGATTGTAAAGAATGAATTCAACACCTGCAAGTGTATTATAAAAAATATATGTTAATTCCTGTAAGATAAGGTGCTAGCTGTATAATCATGAAATCTGGCTTCGGTTGGTAGTTTTGTATGGACGATCAAGGTTTAGAACAGGTATTGGGATCAGTTCAGCTGAAGAAATTCTGTTAGGATATTTGGAGAGGGGAAAATGACGTGTCCATGATGAATAAATTAGGCAATTGCTTTCTCACTATGAATTTACATGTATTTTTGAAAAACAAATATATATGAAAATATTGAAGAGAAAAGTAACATATATTTCAGTTCTGTTGAGAATCAGTTTATGAAGCCATGTCTCTCTGAAAACTGTTTAACTGTTCGTTTGTTGTTTGCAGTACAAGCTAGTGAAGCCGTGTATTACACCGAGGTTTGTTTAACTGTTAGTTTGTTGTTAGCAGTACAAGCTAGTGAGGCCATGTATCACACCGAGGTTTGTTTAAATGTTAGTTTGTTGTTAGCAGTACAAGCTAGTGAAGCCATTTATAACACCGAGGTGTATTTAACTGTTAGTTTGTTGTTAGCAGTACAAGCTGGTGAGGCCATGTATTACACCGAGGTTTGTTTAACTGTTAGTTTGCTGTTAGCAGTACAAGCTAGTGAGGCCATGTATTACACCGAGGTTTGTTTAACTGTTAGTTTGATGTTAGCAGTACAAGCTAGTGAAGCCATGTATTACACCGAGGTTTGTTTCACTGTTAGTTTGATGTTAGCAGTACAAGCTGGTGAAGCCATGTATTACACCGAGGTGTATTTAACTGTTAGTTTGTTGTTTTTAGTACAAGCTAGTGAAGCCATGTATAACCCCGAGGTGTATTTAACTGTTAGTTTGTTGTTAGCAGTACAAGCTGGTGAGGCCATGTATTACACCGAGGGTTGTTTAACTGGTAGTTTGCTGTTAGCAGTACAAGCTAGTGAGGCCATGTATTACACCGAGGTTTTTTTAACTGTTAGTTTGATGTTAGCAGTACAAGCTGGTGAAGCCATGTATTACACCGAGGTTTGTTTCACTGTTAGTTTGATGTTAGCAGTACAAGCTATTGAAGCCATGTATTACACCGAGGTTTGTTTAACCGTTAGTTTGTTGTTAGCAGTACAAGCTGGTGAGGCCATGTATTACACCGAGGTTTTTTTAACTGTTAGTTTGATGTTAGCAGTACAAGCTATTGAAGCCATGTATTACACCGAGGTTTGTTTCACTGTTAGTTTGATGTTAGCAGTACAAGCTGGTGAAGCCATGTATTACACCGAGGTGTATTTAACTGTTAGTTTGTTGTTTTCAGTACAAGCTAGTGAAGCCGTGTATAACACCCAGATTTGCTGTTACCTGTGGCATGGACCTGATGAAGCAGCTAGGACAACTTGCACAGACACATCACCTCCACGTACAGGTATCGTCAGCTAAGATATGTATCATCATTGCTTATTGGTCTGTTGATGTCACGTGATAAAGGATATATAATATCCTTGTATTAAACTCAGCAGATCGGATTTAAGGCTCCTCGTCCTAATGATTTTTTTTCTAAATTCAATTACCTCTTTTAACTTCCGTTTGGATATAATAGCATAACTCGGACTGAAAACTTCCGTTTACCAGGTAGTTCAATAGTAAAACAATTCGAAGCCAAGTGTTCGAATCTCGGTTTAGCTCTGCTTTTGTTTTTACACTCAACCCTATGTTCAAATTTGTTGAATTATTGAAGAAATGTATTGACACCTGTTTTTTTAAACAACATTGGTGGCACATAAAAATGGTTAAACTGATGGTTAAATCAGTCCGTCGGTGTCGTCGTCCGCACAAATGGTTTCCTTGCAATGACTCTTGAAGGAATGCTTTTATTGTTCTTAAACTTTAAAATTTCCCTTTAAAGCCCAATCTAGAAGGCTACACGGCTGCCATCAGTCGTGGCGGACGTCTTGGATTTCGGGGGGAAAGTCATATGGTTTCCATGCGATAACTCATGAATGATTATTTTGTATTTCCATGAAGCTTTCTACACATACCTACAGTATTGACTACCAGCTCATGTTTCATTGAATCTGATGAGTTAAATGCTCCGTCGGCCATATCGGATTTTGTAAAAAAAAACACGTGGTTTCCCTGAGATAACATTCAAGGAATGCCTCGAATTCGACGAAATATGTAACAACTACTAACAATATCATTTTTTCCCTCATGTTCGAATTTGACCTGGATCAAAAAAGTCAATATGGGCATAAGTAGCCCGCTGGATTCTGGCACCATGAAGCAATGGTTTGGTTTTTACAAAGCTTTTTAATTATATCGTATCACTTACCTGTTCAAAGTTAGTTTTCAAACTGAATGCTTCGATTTTCAAGAAACGTTTTACAAAGTACCAATTACCCGCTCAAGTTAGATTTCCAACTTGATCTGAAAACAACATTACCGCCAACAGGCATCTTGGATTTTCTAAGAAGTCAGTTGAGGAATGCTTTTATTTTCACGAACCGTCCTACACATGACTTTACTATTGGTTACATGTTAATGTTCAACTTTGACTTGACCCAATTCCGAAAATTAACATGGCTACCAGCAGGAGCAGACGACACTTCCACATCTGCAGACTTTCTATGGTAAAAAAATGTTCAACACAAAAGTACAACAGGTTAGGACCAACCCGTAAAACCTGCAGAACTAATCACATATACCAAATACATTAATAATGATAGAACAAGCATTCGGTTTGTTGTGGTGTACGCCTGACAGACCACATACGTCATTGTTGGTATGTTGCAGACAGTATTATTTGTGTTGCATGCAGACACACATACGTCATTGTTGGTATGTTGTAGACATTATTATTTGTGTTGTATGCAGACACACATATGTCATTGTTGGTATGTTGTAGACAGTATTATTTGTGTTGTATGCAGACACACATACGTCATTGTTGGTATGTTGTAGACAGTATTATTTGTGTTGTATGCAGACACACATATGTCATTGTTGGTATGTTGTAGACAGTATTATTTGTGTTGTATGCAGACACACATATGTCATTGTTGGTATGTTGTAGACAGTATTATTTGTGTTGTATGCAGACACACATATGTCATTGTTGGTATGTTGTAGACAGTATTATTTGTGTTGTATGCAGACACACATATGTCATTGTTGGTATGTTGTAGACAGTATTATTTGTGTTGTATGCAGACACACATATGTCATTGTTGGTATGTTGTAGACAGTATTATTTGTGTTGTATGCAGACACACATATGTCATTGTTGGTATGTTGTAGACAGTATTATTTGTGTTGTATGCAGACACACATATGTCATTGTTGGTATGTTGTAGACAGTATTATTTGTGTTGTATGCAGACACACATATGTCATTGTTGGTATGTTGTAGACAGTATTATTTGTGTTGTATGCAGACACACATATGTCATTGTTGGTATGTTGTAGACAGTATTATTTGTGTTGTATGCAGACACACATATGTCATTGTTGGTATGTTGTAGACAGTATTATTTGTGTTGTATGCAGACACACATATGTCATTGTTGGTATGTTGTAGACAGTATTATTTGTGTTGTATGCAGACACACATATGTCATTGTTGGTATGTTGTAGACAGTATTATTTGTGTTGTATGCAGACACACATATGTCATTGTTGGTATGTTGTAGACAGTATTATTTGTGTTGTATGCAGACACATATGTGTCATTGTTGCTTGTGATTTTACAGACACATATATGCGAGACGAAGGATGAGTGCAGTCTGGTGCAGAAACTGTTCCCGGAGAGTACATCCTACACGGATGTGTACGAACAGGCTGGTCTTCTTACACGGAAGGTAGGACATCAGTACTATACACGTAAAATTTTACACAGTTGACAGGTTTGGTTTAGTTTTAGGCGCTTAGCATCCTATTAACAGCTTACTATATCGTGCCTATGATGCCCTCTTTATAGTACTGTCTAAATGAAATACCATGCCGATGGCACCCATCACAGTATTTCCCCTGATCACTATTATACTGCCAACGGCAGAACCAGTTGTTACCTTTCTCCAAAATCTTAAACGTTTCAATTTGACAGTTCTCGGCGCGAAAAGAAATTTTAGAATATCCAGTTTTTATAAGCCTTTGTAAATCTTCAAAGTTTGTCCATGAATGGAGGGCCCTTAAGACACCAGCATCGTATTTCCAGGATACGGTAATGTAAATTTCTATCATATCACCTGTTGAACGTCTGGAGGCCAGAGTTGGTAAATGTATGTTCTTGATAGGATTGACAAACCAGATAGTATAGACAAACCAGGGACTAACAACTACTATTTTAAAGACTTCGGTAGGCGACGGCTTGCGGACTAACCCCATCGCATTCCTCACCTGGGCGAACATTCACCACTAAGGCCAAAAGTGAAGTATCGCCTAACAAGGCCTTTAGAAACAAAAAGGTAACGAGAGGATGGAATGTCATCGGATAAAACAACAAAATTGTATTAAAAGATCAATCGAAAAGTTAATCAAATTTTAGTGTCCTTATTTAACGAAGCACATCTTTTCAAAAAATAAATGAAAACGTACATTCGAGAGCTACAAATACTACGTCTGGTTTGTCTATCCTATCAAGAACCTCAATGTACCAATGCTTGCCTCCAGACGTTCAAGAGGTGCTATGATAGAAATGTACATTACCGTATCCTGGAAATACGATGCTGGTGTCTTAAGGGCCCACCATTCATGGACAAACTTTGAAGATTACAATGGCTTATCAAAACAGAATATTCTAAAATTTCTTTGTCGCGCCGAGAACTCTCAAATATAAAAACCAAAGTTAATAAATGTCTGATTAGAAACCATATCAGACTGTGATTGTATGTATACCCTAGTAAACAGGGTGTTGTACACCCATATTAACCAGTATAACACACTTATGGTCTCATAACAAAAAGAACATTTGCCTCAGAGGACATCACTTTAAAATACATCTAAATGGTTTTCCTTTTGGCTCCTAATTAGACTATCCTTGCTCATGGAATTTATCTGTCAAAAGAGGAAAGGAAGATAATAAAGAGTCGGCAATCAGGAATATCCCACTGTCCAAATTCCAATCTGACGTAAGTATTAATAAAACACCACACGTTATAGTAAAATTTTGAAACACAGGTTTAACAACAAACAAAGTTGAAATGCTATCAATGATATCACGGCTGTCGTGCGATTAAGGTCGTTCATCTTCACATCATTTAACATGTCACTTTTATTTTTCTTGCAATCTTATTTTCGCCTTTTTCGCCCTCCGTAATGATTGCGAATTGATCATTGCAGTGAATATAAGCTAACAGTATAAAAAACATAGTAGTTAGTTTAATGTGAAAGGCGACATTAACACTGAATGACAAATGATTTCATGGGAAAAGGGCAAAAATTTGACTTTGCGAAAATTTCCCAGAATAAACAGTTACATTATATACACCGATGTTGAAGTGTTATATTTATTTTGATTTCCCGTCAGAATCCGAAGTGGATTACTCGATGTCAAAGCCTGTTTTGAAGATAACATCGCTGTTGGTTTGGGTACCGGTACGTATCACATACTGTACAGTTGGCTCAGATGAAAGCGCACTCGCTTTTCACCAAAACGACCAGGGTTCGACCTCATGGGTTTTCTCTGGGTACTCGGGTTTCCTCCCACATTAAGACCCCTTAGGAGCTCCATCCGGGCCACGAGAAGTGATTAATATGAAAAGCTCGTAAACTTGTTAGATAATTGCTGTTAACTATTATTCATTATTTATTATTCTTATTGACATCCGTACGTAAAGTGTAATTGGAATAACAATACTGGTGCTGTAGATTTTATTGACGAATACAGGGTGTTGCCCTTGATCTGTTGGTAACAACTTTTTTATGCCCAAAATTAATAAGAAATAAGATTTTGACGATTTTCCTTCATTTTCATATATGTTATTTCCCTATTTAATAGTTGAGCGAAGGTTATTTTTAGTCTTACAGCGATGTCGATGTTAATGTTTCAGTTGCCTGAATACCCTTGATTTCACTTTTAAATGTTTTAAAGAATGCGATTGATGTTTACTTTTGTAGATATTTCCGGTGGTTACAGTCCGTCCATCTTGGATGCCATGAGAACCGCCATCAGTACCTCCAACACTATTGCTTTACAACAAGGCACAGACTACACGCCACTTGACTACAAAGATGTGTTCCGAATGGCAACACTAGGGGGCGCTAAAGGTACTACTTCATCAGGGGTTTTGTTTTTCATTTTTTTATATTCTGTTTTCTTTCCTTGTAAAAGCTATATTTGTGAAGGATGTCACATTCGACGCCACAATAGTAGCCTACTTTTGCCTTCGAAAGTTAACATTCGACCTCATTTGCGCCCTTTCTTGGAAACACAAAAGCGACCATATTAAATCTGTTGCAACCTTTGTAACATTTTGTATCTCTGTTTCTTTTCTTTCTGACCTCTTTTTCGTTCCCTAGCACCTCATTTGGCCATACTTTGCTTCTGGCATCGGTGTTGAGCGCTCACACAAAACCTAAAGTCTTTGAATTGGTACTTGAGGCTTTCACCTGGGCTGTAGCACTCTAAAGCCAACATGAGATCCGCGGTATCACAAGAACTACTAAGAATCACCAACGCATCGTGAGCCTCCTGTTCATACATTGGAGGAACGTCCTCAAATGAGCTTAGCTGTTAAAGGAACGCTTAACTCAATGAACCAAAGCAATCAAACTGTGACCTTGGATGTTTTCCACGAGACTACCCAATGTTTCCATACTTTGTCCCGGGGAATTTACAGTTTCTTTCTTCATAAAGTGTTTTTAGCATGAGAATTATGAGATGACATATTGATTCGTAACTTTTTCCTTGATCAGTGCTGGACATGGATGAAGTAATAGGTAACTTTGAGGTCGGGAAGGAATTTGATGCCCTTATTATTGACCCTAAGGCAGCAGGCAGCGTCATTGATGTCTTTGAGAATGACACCGTGGAGGATGTCATACAGAAATTCGTCTTCCTGGGTAAGTACAAATACCTTCCCTGTGTCTGAGACAATATATGGTATTTAGTAATGTCAGTTCAGTCTTGATGTAAACTGATTTTCACAATAAACCATATCCTCTAATTTGTTCGTTTATTGTGAAAAACACAAACTGCGTAATTTGTTAAAGTAGAAGACATCAACTTTATCTCCATTTTAAAACCATATATCTCACTTATAAAAATAAATATATATATGCATTCGACCGCAATTTATAGTCTTAAAGTCATGGCGACTTATTTTTTGATACTGGTACACACAATTTTAATTTTTGTGTTGATGCAGGTGACGACAGAAACATATTAAATGTGTTTGTGGCCGGACGTGACCTGTCGGAGAAACCTTTCGTGGAGCCATTGATTATTTCCTAACCACAACCGCCATGCATATAAAAAAAAAGGTGAAAACCGGGTATAATGTCATGTGATACATCGTATGCCGGACTTTAAGAAATTGGTAAAGAATGATACGCCGGACTAGTAAGAACTGGGTAAAACGTAATACGTCGGACTTGTAAGAACTGGGTATTGTGTTTTACACCGGACTTGTAAGTAATGAGTATAATGTGATATGTCGGACTTGTAAGAACTGGGTATAGTGTTATACGCCGGACTTGTAAGAAATGAGTATAGTGTATTACGTCGGACTTGTAAGATCTGGGTATAGTGTGATATGCCGGACTTGTAAGAACTCGGTATAGGGTGATTCGCCGGACTAGTAAGAACTGGGTAAAGCTTGAGACGACGGACTAATGAGGAGCAAGTTAAGTCTGTAACGATAAATTAACATGATTTTACATGGCAAATGGTGTTTAGTAGACATTAACTTCATAACTGAGTGAATGTTCGTGAAATTCAAATATGTTTTAAATATAGTTCAAAACGAAGTTTTGGAGAAATGACAATGATACATAGATGGCAGACTATTTCATTATATTTGTTTATATTTAAAGTTTGTTTTATTCACCAGTTAATTTTATTGTTTCATTCACGAGCTAAACCTTTGATTTTTCGATCGCGTTATTGTTATTTACTTGTTATCGTTGTTATTAATAATTTTATTGGATCCTAAAGGGTTGTAAAAAATATAATTTTTTGCAACCATTCAATACTTTTTTCTAAATAATAGTAATGTTACTATTCTAATGTAGTATGCATAATGTTGATATATATACATAACTTTAATCCAAAAAAAGTAATATTTTGTTAAACCGCTTATATCTTACGTGTCTTCATTTATATTTTTACACTTCCACCACTTTTTAGGCAGCACACAGTTTAAACATTTGTAATTTGATGCTAAAAGCCAAATAAAAGTTCGCAACCTTTTTTCTAAGCAAGATATATTATGGTGATTAAAGAAAATACAGTGTTTTTATTTTTTAATATACGAGAATACGATCAATGCAACAGCTATAACCTAATTAGCTGGTGTTAGATAAATATATACTGCGTTTCCCATAGCGAATGTCAAAGAAAATATGTTTTTCGCCCCATATAAACCCTCGATTTTAATCTCTGATCAGGAATCGGAATCGCAATGCTGTTAAGTGAATATTCCATAGCAATATATTCCGTCTTTTCGTATTGCAGAGTTATCTGCTCTTGATAGCATGTATTGATTGTTACGTCATTTGTTATGTTATGCTCATATCATTAAGTAATACTCATCCGACGAAAATCTGTTGTTTCGGATTCAGTGCAAAAGGGCAACATATATTTGGACCTCACTGACGATATAACGTATGAGACATATACAATGTTCAACAAATATTTGGACCTCACTGACGATATAACGTATGAGACTAATACAATGTTCAACATATATTTGGACCTCACTGGCGTTATAACTTATGAGACATATACAATGCTCAACATATATTTGGACCGCACTGACGTCATAACGTATGAGATATATATACAATGTTCAACATATATTTGGACCGCACTGCCGTTATAACTTATGAGACATATACAATGCTCAACATATATTTGGACCGCACTGAAGATATAACGTATGAGACATATACAATGCACAACATATATTTGGACCGCACTGACGTTATAACGTATGAGATATATATACAATGTTCAACATATATTTGGACCCCACTGACGTTATAACTTATGAGACATATACAATGTTCAACATATATTTGACCGCACTGACCTTATAACGTATGAGACATATACAATGCACAACATATATTTGGACCGCACTGACGTTAGAACTTATTAGACATATACAATGTTCAACATATATTTGACCGCACTGACGATATAACGTATGAGACATATACAATGCACAACATATATTTGGACCGCACTGACGTTATAACTTATGAGACATATACAATGTTCAACATATATTTGACCGCACTGACGTTATAACGTATGAGACATATACAATGCACAACATATATTTGGACCGCACTGACGTTATAACGTATGAGATATATATAATGTACAACATAATTGGCCTACACTATTGTTATTACTTATGAGATATATATATAATGTACAACATAATTGGACTACACTATTGTTATTACTTATGAGACATATTGAATGTTCAACATATACTTGACCGCACTGACGTTATAACTTATGATACATATACAATGTTCAAAATATATTTGGACCTCTCTGACGTTATAACTTATGATACATATACAATGTTCAAAATATATTTGGACCTCACTGACGTTATGAATTATGAGACATATACAAGGTTCAACATATATTTGGACCTCACTGACGATATAACGTATGAGACGTATACAATGCACAACCTATATTTGGACCGCACTGACGATATAACGTATGAGGCATATACAATGTTCAACCTATATTTGGACCTCACTGACGATATAACGTATGAGGCATATACAATGTTCAACATAATTAGACGATATTATTGTTGTTACTGATTAGACCTAAACATTGCCCGACATAATTGGACCCTATTATTGTTATTACTTATGAGACATATACAATGTTCAACATATATTTGGACCTCACTGACGTTATTACTTATGAGACATATACAATGTTCAACATAATTAGACGATATTATTGTTGTTACTGATTAGACCTAAACATTGTCCGACATAATTGGACCATATTATTGTTATTACTTATGAGATATATACAATTTACAACCTATTTTGACTACTTATACTATTGTTAAACTTATGAGATATATATATAATGTACAACATTTTTGGACTACACTATTGTTATTACTTATGAAATTTATACAATGTACAACATAATTGGACTATATTATTGTTTCTTACTTATGAGATATATATAATGTACAACATAATTGGACTACACTATTGTTATTACTTATGAGATATATATAATGTACTATATATGTACAATATGTACATTATAGATGTTTTCCCCAAATAAAACATTATAAAAGTAACTGTTATATAATTTGTTATTTATATCAGTATACACCAACGTACATGCACACACACGAACACGCATGAACGCGTGCAGATTTTCTATCTTTAAAAAGAAAATAAGTTAATTATGAAGTAAGTTTCAAAGCGAATCGTGTAATGTTTGTCCCTACCTCGGTTTGTGTACCAGACTTTGGACGCACGTTCTCACATACGTACGCACACGGATACGACGAATGGCCGATATACACAAGTGTATGTAAAATAAAGACAGGATGGATAAAGGATTGACATAAAAAGGGCAATGTCAGTTTTAAAGATAAGAACAAGCAAATCAAATTTTAGACGAACTCTTAGAAATATGTGCAATCAATATATCGATCAAAGGAGTGGTGGGATTAATCAAAATATATTTTAGTAACTTTTTCGAAAACGAATCAAGGAAAAATACAAATATGCAAACTGAAATGAAACACAAAGACAGCAAGGTAACCGATCCTAAAGATCCCACAGACATGGGTCTCCCATTTCAATCTGTTAGTCAAACAAACATCATAGGACTTGTTGGATAACCATTAATAAATTACTTGTTACAAGATCATGTTTGTCCCTGTTGGGAGAGAAAGAGCAAACTAACTTAATATCAGAATGGGTGGATGTGCGTAATGTACAACTTGTATCAAACACTCAAAGCTTGTTTAGAAATAGGCGTTTTCCCCTCCAAAAAAAATCAGTATATTACAGGTAGATTGCGTAGGAAAGGAGACAATGTGGAAAGACAAAACGTCAAAATACGTCGATTTTAATAGATTTGATCTATCTATGACAGTTTAACTCCACACATATTTTGGAAAACTACAATGAAATATCCCAATAAAAAAATGTATATGTACAACATTTAATGATGTTTATAGCGACAATCAAAATTGATGGAACGAAAGATTAATGTTTTAAACACAGATGTTGCTAGTCATAATACACTACTAAACTGTGCTTATACTACGAAACACGTAAGAGACGAATAGTAGTGTAGGAACTAGGTTGTGGTGGTTCTTGCATATTTTTCTAGGGAGGTTCCGAATAAGAGAAAAAACGATCGGGAACACTTGAGCGCATGACCAGCATCATCCAATCAGCAGCAGATGATGTACATAAAAAATCTAGCTTATCCTTGGTACCTTTTTCCGTGTATCTTTTGTGTGTTCCAATAAAAAAAAATGTTAAAATTAATTAAGGACCATGTGGAAATAAGATTTTCAGTTAAACATGTATTTTATCATCAATAAATAAAGTGTGTTATTGTATACTAAAGTATATGCATGCATCATATGTTGTAATATGAAATATGGAGAAATAAGAAAATAATAATTACAATAGCATGACTCACCAAGTCAACTGTGACACGATATTTATGTTTGGGTATCACAAGACAACTTTGACGAACAATTATTATTTTATTTCTATTGATCATGTATTTACAAACGCAATTTGAAGACCTTGCTGTAATGAATAAACAATAAAAATTGTATTAATTTTATTTTTTTTGTCGCTTGTAAAAATAAAAAGGGGGGGGGGGTTGGATTACTTTCAGCTGTTACAAGTTATATTTAATGATAGACAGGAATACAGGTAAGTTGTACACGGTATTTTAATGTTCTTATCTACGTACGTATCTTTAGCACGTGGTCTGTTACAGATCGGTATCACATGCATTTTCAATATAAAACGTACAATAACATCCTCTTTAAATAAAAAGAAGGAACCTGGAATAGTGACGAATCTTGAAAATGGCTGCATTTTTGGTGACAAAATCTAAAACTTACTCTTATTCCGTTTACCTAAACTCACAACAGGTACATGTGAATTCTTCATGAATATGAAATGATTTAATTTACAGAATATGCAAACTATTTAAGAGAAATCAAGATGGTGACTACAACACACGAACTCGCGTGAGTTCTCAACACATGAACTCATGTGAGTTCTCAACACATGAACTCACGTGAGTTCTCAACACATGAACTCGCGTGAGTTCTCAACACATGAACTCACGTGAGTTCTCCGTTGAAAATGTTGACAAGATTGATATTGACACGTGTAATGTGAAATGTCATAGACATTCTGTAAACACTTTGACATCATTTGAATGGATCATAAGTATGAATTTTCCCATTTTTAATCTGGTAATTGAGGCGTTCCGGTTATAATTAAGAGGTTATACACGTACCCGCAAATACGTTGCGTACAATACGCATACGGTGATATTCTGACCAACTGTTTTTGACTCGGTATGGAGAAAAGGTTTGCTCTATAAGCTAACTAGATATGGCATCGGCAGCCAAACTCTTTCCAGTCATTAGTAATATGTACAAGAAAACTTCGTCTACCGTTAAATACAATTCGTTCTTCTCCGATTACTTTGATAGTTTTAGAGAACTCAAGCAGGGGGAAAGTATGAGTCCCTCTCTGTTCAATTTATATGTAAATGATCTTCCTACAAGATACTCATTTTTTTTTATTTAACGTCGCATATTTAAAACAGTAAACATAAGCACTGTAGTGCTATTCTTACGACAAGAATCTTGTCTATCTATTAAAATATGATCCTTTAAAGCTTGTCAACTCGGAAATAGGTTGCCTTATATGTTCGCAGATAATCAAGTTATATTGTCAGAAACAGCAGAGGGATTACAAAAATCATTAAATAACTTATATACATATTGTAATAGATGTAAACTTTCAATAACTAAGCAATGATACTCAATTCAACAAACCGTGTTATTAAAAACTACTGATTTAATATTGGTAAATATAATATAGACATAAGTAAAGAATATAAATATATTGGTAACCTGATAAATACAGCAGGTAAATTGATATCGTCTGTAAAGGAATTGTCCAACAAGGGTCTTAAAGTTCTTTTTGCAATAAAAAAAATAAGCCAAAACAAATCACAAACTTTCCAGTAGATGCCCAGTGTAAACTCTTTCAATCCCTTGTAAAACCTGTCCTGACTTATAATGCAGAAGTATGGTACATGTATTTATACCAAAATATGTTAATCAGAAAAATCAGATCATGTCATAGCAATAAGCTCCTTTATTGATAAATCTCGTTTTGAGCAAGTACATTTGAAATTCTGTAAACATACTCTAGGAATTGGGAAAAGAGTAGTAAATCTAGGCTCCAGTGCAGTGCTGGGACATTACCCTATCGAATCCCTTATAAACACTGAAGCGTGTGGCTATTTAAGTAGAATGCTACAAGATTCAGACAATTTAAACCCTTTGATAAAGGAGGACTATCTATTAAATAAAACTTTACGTGATAAGGGAACATATACCTAGTTATGTTAATGATATGACATTAGACAATGATCTACAGCAAATTGTACAGGATCCTGACGCATCATACAGTAATTAACTAACTTAAAACTAAAACCAAGCAAAATATCAAAAAGAAATATGAGATAAGTTTCTTTAAAAATTTCAAACGAGAGTAATAAATTATATGTTTATAAAGACTTAAAGATTGAGTATGTCCCTGAAAAATACCTTAGTACTAACAGTAGCAATTTAAGGAAAATGTTCACTACATTTCGATTATGTGAACACAAACTGGAGCTAGCCATGGGGCGTCTCAAACGTATACCAAGAAACCAGAGACTCTGTAAAAAATGTGGTGTGTTAGAAAATGAAATATACTTCTTTTTTTCACCTTATAGATACCAATTATTTGACCTCAATATACTGGACTCTTGCTTGTTCATTAAACATTCTCTAGAACTGAGGAGAGTTGGCTTGCTGACAGTATAGGACATGGACTTTGCAGCTAACAATGTATAAATCATTTTTTCTATTTGAAGCTATGTTTATTTTTTCATGTTAATGTAGGCCTATATTAGAAATATATGCTATCACCTTGCGACTTTTCTGTATTTCACTGTGTTTCACTGTTTTGCCTTCAAACAACTTTGTAGTTACAAATATGCAAATACAATTTTGAATCTTGAATCTTTGAATCTTTATAAACAAATATACAAAAAAAAAAGACTGAGTTTGAAACTCAAAATCCGCATCGCCATTCGAACAAAGACTGACACAATAAGAGGAACGAAGTACCTAATACAGAGAAAAAGACACCGTGAACATATAACGTGTGTCTCCTGTTGAGGTTTACGGGTTATAAACCTCATTTAGATCTTGAGACAATAAGAATATGAAGGTTGATTGTTAATAAACTCTCATGTTGGCATGAACATCATGAATACGTCAGCAAATTAGTGCGGAAAGAAATCCCTTTCATAGATTTTTTTTATTTCCCCCCCTCCCCCCAGAAGTTTCAGATAGATCACAAGTATTTATGTGTTTTGTCAGAGATGTATCATACGTCTCTGGTTTTGTGAATATAAAACAACTAGTTATCTTATCAGTATGACGTCACATGCACTTCTATGGTGTAGACTTGCACATGTCCTTATTTTAGAAATTATAAAAAATAATAACTATGTTATTCATCAAGTGACGATTATCTAGTACATATCCTTCATTTTGGAGCATTGAATCCATGGTAAAACTATGTTCACCTGTCGTTGTACGTCGAGAAAGTTATAAATGAAGTATACATTTTTAAAATAAGGTGATGATTTTGTTTTCTTATCTATAAAAAAAGTATAAGGTTATAAAGAAATGGTACAAAAATAGCCTATCAAAATGTATGTACTGTATGCAATGTCATGGTGAAATTCAATCTAACTTGAATTCTAATATAATTATAGATAACAAATTATTGTGTAGGAGTTGTCTTTCTTTAGCCTGATATGCATCTGGTGTCACGCCCACACTGATAACACAAAAAATAAACGCACTTGGCTTTGATGGAGTTCTAATTAAACGTCTCCAAACAGGCTGGCCAACAGCAGTGATTACGATGGCTAATTGTGAAATCGTCATCCTCGACGGCGGGTCGGCTACCGAACTCGAACGATTAGGTGAAACGTCGATCAATGTAAGTATTCGGAAAAAAACAGACCTAACACGTACGATTAGACGGTAAAGTCAATAATTGTTAGCCTTATTTATGTTTTTGTTCATCGGCGCACGGGAAATGTGAAATTTTATATAATGATCAACAAAGGATAAGTAGATGTGCATTATTTTAATATTAAGAATTTAGTCAAATTAAATTCAACGGTGAGCATGTACGGCTCCATAGCTCAGTTGGTTAGAGCGCCAGTCTAGTAAACTGGAGGTCGAGAGTTCGACTCTCTCTGGAGCCTCTTTTTATATTTTTGTTTAGTTTTTCGTTTATAAATGTTTTTGTCTGCTTTTTTTTGTTGTTAATTGATAGTGAAAAATCAATGTTATTATTGCAAACACGACTTTCAACTTACTCAATAAGCAAACTTGTTGTTCATTTCGACTTCCTGATTACTAAACCCGCGAAATACGTCCCTCACAGTTCTTTTGGACCACACTTGAGACGAAATGGTCGAAAATGAATCTAGGAGATGGTGAATAGAGAGCGCGCGAATGTTTCCCTTGTCGTGTTGCTTAATGTTAAACATATCTGGATGGGTTACTTTATGTATTCAGGCGGATCCATTATGGTCGGCTCGACTGCTTCATTCAAATCCAGAACTTATCAAACAGGCCCACAAGAAGTAAGTAGAATTGATGCTGAATTAGGTATGTTTCATTCATATTTAATTCTGGTGTTAGTCTGTAAGTATAAGTCATAACGACATACACTGTCATTTCTTTCTACTTACGATGTCATATTGTGCTACTTTCATTCATATATTTTCCGTATTTGTCTCAGTATAGAAAAGGTAGTGTTATGAAGTTTTGATTTGTTATTCCAATTCCTTTTGGAACAGAGAAAGTCGCAATTGTGAACTTTCTAAATTCAATATGGCAAACAGCCACCATTGCAAGCTAAATGGCTGCAATATTCAACTGACACTTGCATTTGCTTCCTTGTAATATGGTAACAACAAATAGGCTTAATCTTATATGTAAACACCCAGACCTTCATAAATAATATACATGTATTTATTCTACAATATTGACACAAATGAAAATATTTGGTCCGGTCATGTATACTTAATGTCATATTATCTCTGCCGTCTAAAGTTTCATTGAAGCCGGAAGTGACGTGGTTGTCACGGCAACCTACCAAGCTTCAGTGGAAGGCTTCTGTCAAGAGCTTCAAATTACCGAGGACGAGGCTGTTCGTCTTATGTTTTCTGGGACAAAAATCGCGAGAGATGCATGGCGGGAAGCTTCTGACAGCATTCGAACAGGTAAAAGTGCAAACTGGTGTGACGGAGCCACCGGTTTGTCTTTGATGCCATAATTATGAAACAATGCACCAAATTCTATTTACAGTTTATTTACATCTCTATACATATATACAGGTATACATGTCCATACGTACACAACAACACTTGCACTGCTCACATGTTGTCACTCCAACCTTCTACCAAAACTCCCAATAGTTACATCTTCTCTCGTGCACAAACACAAAACTAAACTGAACTCTATCACACACACACCAACCTTTGTTCTCATGAAACTGACCATTCTCAATCAACATTTCTCTCTAATGGCCCGAGCTTTAGTTGACAACTTAATAAGATCTCCAAAACCAAATAATATGTCTCTACATTTAAATTGCACTCCCAATCTTAAACAATTAAACAACTACAGACTCTCCACAGACAGTCACTGATACATACAGCTTCGGCTGACACAACTCATTAATTAGAACTACTGACCACTCTGACCCCTACTGGCCCACTCGACTCTCCTCCTACTCTCAAAGATGACACTTTTCCACACTGCAGTCTGGTTGTATGTGATAATTTGTTGATTTCACTCATGGTATTGTTTAAAATAATAAATGTAATGTAATAAATGCAACTAGAAAGGTTCATAAAAACATGTGGTGACATGAGAGAATACGAAATCAGTAACGGGTGTAGACCTGTCCCTTCTGCTAACTTACCATATTCAAAAAAAGAGACGGAAAGCTTTTGATTTAAAGATTTATCCTATTGTACTAGACAGAGAATGTAAATGATGAGAAATACATTTGCCTGGATTTGAAGGTAGACATTATGAATAGTAGCACATCTGGTACAAGAAACGCTTATCCTTCCGGACCACCTGATTCCTCCTCTGATTATTTATGTTGGCTTAATGATGTATTTCCTTTTGTGTTGGTGTTTCCTCTGTCCCTGGTTCTTTTCGTATCGTCTTCATGTTATATTTTGTCCTTATGTATTAAGGCAGTAGTGTATTTATTTCTATTTTGATGTAAACCTTAATTTCCGTTGGAAAAAATTATCTAACTGCTTTATAACGCCAAAAATTGTATTGATCACTGATGATAGTACAACTTCAGAGTTTTACTGTGTTGTAATAGAAAGAAAGTGTTGGGTGGCGGGCTCTGTTGGACCCTATGGAGCGTGTCTACACGACGGATCAGAGTATTCGGGGACATACATGGACAAGATGTCAAAACAGGTAACCCTTATTACAATTTGAATAGCCCATACCCTCACTACATTGTCTGTGGTATGACGGTTACAAGGCATCTGTGGTACTCTATTGGTAATTCTCACTTAAGTTCTCTGCACCCCAGGAACACACTTAAGTACCTGAACTTTTGCTACAGCTATATATTGATCTAAACTTAGGTATTCAGAGTAATTTGACACGTCATTGGAGTTAGCGTGTTTACCGAAAGTTGATCTAAACCCCTTAAACGTATGTTTCTACGTAGACATGACAGTTACAATTTGATATTTCCACATCAGTTAATATACATTAGTCTAGTACATGCTTGTAGGGCTTCCGTTTCCCCTGACCCGAACATCAGACTTGAAACATTATGACAGATATCTGGCGTGGGACATATATCTGTCAAAATATCCAAACAAGTTGAAAATAAAATCCCCGCATTATTGAAAGCAGATTTTTACTCAGTACGTGCCATTTAGATTTTTATATAACCATGTTATTGAATACATGTACGTGTTTAAACTCAAGAATTTCCGGTAAAACTTTGATCCTAATATACTTCTAATATTGTTTTTATGTAATGTAATGTAAATGTTTTGAGTTTTTTCTGTGTCTCGATAAAAGAGCGGATTGCTCCAAAAATTTGACAACATCATATTGTCTACACTGTCAGAATTACTTCCTTGACCCATATACCAATTCTAAGTAGTTCGTATTTGGCAAACACAAGTTCGCAAGGATCAAGTGTTATCTGGGAAATTACCGTTAATATTACTTCTTTGAACCATATTAGTAATTGTATATATGGTTCTACCTAGGATTTGATTGACTGGCACCGTCCACGTGTCCAGGCTCTGCTGGACAGCAAGGTGGATATCCTGGCTATAGAGACCATTCCAGCCACCGAAGAGGCCGAGGCTGTACTTGACCTCCTACAGGACTATCCCGGGGCCAAGGCATGGGTCACATTTTCCTGTAAGGTATGACATTACCCAATTTACCCGGCATTCAAGCCATGATAGACATCCACCTTTTTGTAACAGTATGTGAACGGATGTTTCCGTTTATTATGTTAGTTCAAATGAATACTTGTTCTTGATTTATGAATAAGCAAAAGTAGGTTTTAAGCAAATCAGGTTTTGAATATGATTATCTTATAGTCTAATCATTGAAGATTGGCTTTCCGCTATTGCCTATTCTGCACAGCTGTCCCATTGATTTCTCGTTTTCGCTATATAGGACGGGAATCAAACTTTTCATGGGGAGAGGTTCTCGGACGCCATCGAGGCAGTTGCTAAGCGACAAGGTGTGGAAGCCGTTGGCGTTAATTGTACAGACCCGCAGTTTATTACTCCGCTCCTCAAGAGTATACAGCACCTCAACCTAACGATACCGGTCATCGTCAAACCCAATAGCGGCGAGGATTGGGAAAAGGGAATAGGGTAGGTTGTCCACGTCAGCATCAAACCAAACAGTGGGGAGGATTGGGAAAACGGAATACGGTAGGTCGTCTAGGTCATCGTCAAACCCAACAGTGGCGAGGATTGGGACACAGGAATAGGGTAGGTCGTCTAGGTCATCGGCAAACCCAACAGCGGCGGGGATTGGGATACAGGAATAGGGTTTGTCGTCTAGGTAATCGTCAAACCCAACAGCGGCGGGGATTGGGACACAGGAATAGGGAAGGTCGTCTACGTCATCGGCAAACCCATCAGTGGCGAGGATTTGGACACAGGAATATGGTAGGTCGTCTAGGTCTTCAAACCAGACAGTTGGAAAGTCGGGACAAAATAAGGTGAGTAGTCTAGGGGAAGGTCACTGGTACACAGATATAGTTTTGGTAATCTGGGTCATCGTCAAGCCAAACAGTGGGAAAGACTGGGGCAAAAATATGACACAGTAGTCTAGGGGACAAGGCATCGTCCAAACCAAAACTTGGACACAGGAATAGGGTAGGTACATGCATTGTCAGGTACTGGTTATCACACCGATATAGTGGCCAAGTCTGGGACACGAGAGTAGGGAGTGTGCATGGTCTTTGTCACACTTGCCAGTTAGACGAAAATAAGGGTAGGAGACAATATTTAGTCCACCGATCGATTCGTCATTCAAACTAATGTTTTATTTCTATATTTCGTATTTCTGTTGACGCTGGTCACATTTTGAGGTCAAATATTAATGTCTGAAGCTTACTGAAAACGTTTCTTATTTGAAAAATCATTTATCATTAAGTATTATGTAACAAATTATATGTCACTTTACATTTACAAATGGCCACACAGCCCTAATGAGACAGTAGGTGAGCTGCTGATGCTGAAAGTCAAGTGTTAATATCATAAGGTCACCGGACTTTTACTAAGTTGTCTTTGTTTTGCTCCAATCTAGAGTCAACCATGCTTTACCAACAATTCGTTTGGCTTGAAAAGTGTTTTTGTGGGTTTTTTCAGATTCTATAACAGAGACAAGTGTGTACCTGTGGTTTCTATGGTTACCGAGTGGATGGAACTTGGTGCCACGTGGATTGGGGGATGCTGTCGGATATTTCCAGCAGATATCGCGGACATTAAACAGAAACTGAAAACCTAAACACTTTGTTATTGGTTCTTTCTATGATGACGTCATGATCGAACAGCAATGCTAATAAATACATTAAGTAAACAGTCGTTTCTTTATTGTACACATTGTTTGTCAGTCGGAGGCATTATTTAGACAAAATGAAACAATTATAATTTGAAGGTTACATTCCATCAATGTTAATCAAGGGTAAAATACATGATTAACACAGTTTATCGCTCTGAAAACTTCCATATAACTCTTTAAATGCATTTACTTTAATACTGCATCTATTTTGACAGTTTGTAGTTGTTCTGATCTTCAAACAATCAGACGAATACGTTCCTTCGTCAACGAAGATGGCACCCACGTTGAGAACGACGTACACCAACGTATTTCTCTTTGCCCCACATACATGGTCCAAAGACGGTGTATATTCGTCTCTTTAAGACTATTTGTAGGGATAGTAACGGACTTTATAAAGTTGAAACTTGTAAACAAAGGGTTAAATGCATTCAACTTACTCAATAAGCAAACTTGTTGTTCATTTCGACTTCCTGATTACTAAACCCGCGAAATACGTCCCTCACAGTTCTTTTGGACCACACTTGAGACGAAATGGTCGAAAATGAATCTAGGAGATGGTGAATAGAGAGCGCGCGAATGTTTCCCTTGTCGTGTTGCTTAATGTTAAACATATCTGGATGGGTTACTTTATGTATTCAGGCGGATCCATTATGGTCGGCTCGACTGCTTCATTCAAATCCAGAACTTATCAAACAGGCCCACAAGAAGTAAGTAGAATTGATGCTGAATTAGGTATGTTTCATTCATATTTAATTCTGGTGTTAGTCTGTAAGTATAAGTCATAACGACATACACTGTCATTTCTTTCTACTTACGATGTCATATTGTGCTACTTTCATTCATATATTTTCCGTATTTGTCTCAGTATAGAAAAGGTAGTGTTATGAAGTTTTGATTTGTTATTCCAATTCCTTTTGGAACAGAGAAAGTCGCAATTGTGAACTTTCTAAATTCAATATGGCAAACAGCCACCATTGCAAGCTAAATGGCTGCAATATTCAACTGACACTTGCATTTGCTTCCTTGTAATATGGTAACAACAAATAGGCTTAATCTTATATGTAAACACCCAGACCTTCATAAATAATATACATGTATTTATTCTACAATATTGACACAAATGAAAATATTTGGTCCGGTCATGTATACTTAATGTCATATTATCTCTGCCGTCTAAAGTTTCATTGAAGCCGGAAGTGACGTGGTTGTCACGGCAACCTACCAAGCTTCAGTGGAAGGCTTCTGTCAAGAGCTTCAAATTACCGAGGACGAGGCTGTTCGTCTTATGTTTTCTGGGACAAAAATCGCGAGAGATGCATGGCGGGAAGCTTCTGACAGCATTCGAACAGGTAAAAGTGCAAACTGGTGTGACGGAGCCACCGGTTTGTCTTTGATGCCATAATTATGAAACAATGCACCAAATTCTATTTACAGTTTATTNCACAGTATGAACACTGTCACTCTCGTCAGGCAAATGACCAGTGAAACGTGTGCATACAAATACACACGAGATACGTATATTGGAGAGACTGGAAGGCGATTTGGGGTCCGCCTTGGTGAACACACCGGAAAGATACGGAAACCCAAGAAGGTAGGAAATGCAGTTTAAGAAAGCCATCCGGATACGCCCAGTTATTAATTTGAGATGAGGGGGCTCATAGACTCTCTCACATCTGTAACCACATACAAAGCGTAGCTGAATCGAGTCATTTCGGTACATATAACAACATAAGCTTACAGCGTAGCCGAATCGACGTCGAGTATGTGGACAACTCGCAACTATTTCATACCTTTGTGTGCATACGCTTCACTGGTCATTTGTCTGATGACGATGACAGTGCTAGTCTTTGAAGCGTCACATAGAAACTCTTATTGGTTGTGTGAAAAGATCTTTTTAGACAAAACAAAAATGTTTAGAAATAAACGTCTGCGTGTATACAAGGAGGCTACAAAGCCCTCTCTGTGGGCAGTCCCGAGTTTCGGTTGAAACCAGTTCGAACTCTTATTCCGTATGGGTTTACACCAATGCACCTGCACCTGTGGCTTATGAATATCCATGTCCATTTGTCAGTTATTACGTCATAGTTTATGACGTCACTTTTTCCATAGAGACAATTACAAATGTCCGCAACAGAATATATACCATAAATAACTTTAACAGATGAAATGATTAATTTCTTATTCAGAACGCAATAGTTAATTACAAATTATATAACAAGTATATTAAAATATACATGCTTCATGTATTGATATACAAAATTATTTTGGCTGATATTCCGGGTGAGAAAGCGTTGCTCTGAAAAAAAATATCCATCAAGGTTGCAATTACGTTCCCTTTGGGTGATCAAATAAAGGTATTTGCTGAATATTTAAACTCAAAAATAATATGATGAATAACCAAACTGTTCATAATTATTTTCTTCCAAATCGTTTTATCTAAAAAAAAATAGCAATGGTTTTGCAAATGATTTGACAAGTATAAATGGTTGTTGTTTCCATTTCTGATTTATTTTGAAACAATATACAATTTTAGCTTTGAAATTAAATTCATTGTATTTTGAAAATAAGCTATTAAAACTCCAGTGAATTTTTTGTGGATTGTTTTTAAGCTAACCAGACTTTTGGATATATTGCGAAACGTTGCATTGTGGGTAATATAGATAGCTCACTGTCGTAAATCGGTAAGAGTTGCGATAGTATAATAGAAAGTATTCCTGCTCAATCTATTTGCAGAATCTATAATTTCTTAGTAAAATACAAATTAATTGCATTTTGTTCTAAAATAGATTATAAAGGCATAAAAACTAGTCTTTTTACTTATTACGACGTTTCGATTTTGATAGAACTCCCAATCGTGTTGATTTGTTTGATCACGTGACCGTCGCTATCACCACTGACAAACTATCATGGAGGCAGGTCTCGGGGTCACGGCAGGTATTTCACACTAAAACCCAAACGCAATTTAGACTGGGTCTGTGTATACGCATTGTAATACATCAACCTGTCACACTGGACATTCTCAGTTTGTAAAGTAAACTGCGAAGATGTCCATTGATGTTTTCCTGCTCAAACCACGCGTAAAAGTGTTAACTCGACAGGGGACGAAATGTCTTCTTCTTGTTTTGTTTACTTCTGAAGTTGTCAATTTTTCTCGCCTACGTAGCCAAACTGCTGGCATCATAAACATTAAATAGTTATAGTTTTCATAAATTTAACTTAATCTTCTTTTATAATTCCTTATTTTTCGATTTGTCTTTTCTTATCTCTCTACATGACCTGGTGTTTTCAGCATGTTGTGATCAAATAAACTCGACCATCGTTGAATTGTCACGCCTGTAAAAGGCCGCTGTGCAAATATTTAAGCATTGTCAGTCATGACCCTAATCATGACATCAATATATCATGGGCACCGTTTTAAATGGCTTTTATGGAATTGTCAAACACGGTGTGTGTAAATCATTGATGTAGTGATATTGCTACTGACCCAAACAAGGCAAACATATTTTTGTAGCCCGGAATTTTCCAGCTGTCCATTACAGGAGAGTGCATGAGTCTCTACAACAGTTAGTTCAAATTAAAGGTGTCTATAGCTCCTGTTAGCGTTTAACATAGGTATCTATAGCTCCTGTTAGCGTTTAACATTTGAACTCAGGTCAACAATGTACATGAGCTCATGATCTTAAATTTTAGCTTACATGTTCTTTAAAAACTTTTAATTACATATAGAATAAATGATCATATATAGTAAGATGTAACCATATAAAACATGTATATAGGGGGAAAGAAAGAATGGCACATACAACTGTGTCTTGTATGAGATATAGTAGGATAGGTACTATATATATAGGCAGACTATTTTATATTTTAACATATTTACATACCAGATGCAAGTGCCTGTGGCCACATACTTTAATAGCAATCTAATTCCGTGCTGTGACTTTACATATATATAAACACTTACTAAATTGGAAACCTGTTTGATTCATTTTGTGTTTCTTTTCCTGATTTTCACTCAAGGAACACACTAATTTATGAATGAAGGTCATACCTTGATTTTGAAATCCTGACAAGAAATATGTCTTCAAAAAACTTATCCGACTCCACCCCGCTGCCTCCAATAACATCACGAGTATCAACTGACCCAGAAGCTGACCTAATATCAAACCATGACAGTGACAGTGAGACCGACATACAACTACAGCGGCCTGACAGCTCAGCTTCCGAAGCATCTACGACATCAGCAGGTTTGTGTGGCCGATCTCTTACATTGTGTGTGGGCAATCAGTCATGTACTTGACTATATCTGATAGGCAAATTGTTAGTATAAATTTTATGTACAATGTATATCACAGCTTATGTAATAATATAAGCATGTTGTTCAGGTCAGTATGATATTTCAGTGAGGTCACACTTTAAAGTGTCCCTTTAGTGACATGCATCATCCGTAAACTCTGTCGTAATAATTGTCTTTAGCTCAAATCAAAATCAGATTAGTAAAAATCAAAGACACATGACCAGATCAGTAAACAAAGTCACATGGCTTCACATGAATAAAACAGTAAACAAAATCACAAACAGGCAATTAAAGTTCCATGACTGCCACAGTAAAACAATCAAAGTCACATGACTTGAGCAATTACCAATCAAAGTCACATGACTAGAGCAATTAACAATCAAAGTCACTTGACCAGAACAATTAATAAGCAATACCACATGACTAGAACAGTTAACAATCAAAGTCACATGACCAGAATAGTTAACAATCAAAGTCACATGACCAGAACGGTTAACAATCAAAGTCACATGACTGGAACAGTTTACAATGAAAGTCACACGACTAAAACAGTTAACAATCAAAGTCACATGTAGTAATTCTCAAACACAATAAGGTCACATGACTTCCTACATAGTAACCATGGTGGATGTATGATGTGTGGATAATCTGTACTCATGGTGCTGTATCCAGACAGGATAATCCACATCCAGTATTCCCCGTGGATATATTTCCAATGTTGGTGAATTATTTTACTCTTATTTTCTAATTTTTATACATGTGTATTTGATCATTCTTCTTTCATGTTGTTCTTCTTTATGCTAGACAGCTATATGTATACATGTATGATAGTTATTTTATACAGTTCTTCTCTTGCATTCAGATGACAATGTTACAAATTCAACAATAACATCTAAAATAAAAAATCTTTCATAAATACTGGTAAGGACGGTTTTACAGTATTTTAGATGATTCCTTATAGTTGTTTTCAAGAAAAATCAGTATTTGACTATTTGGTGCAATTTGGAAAATTCCCTATTTGGATTACTGCAATTCTTATTAAGCTACGTACTGGTTCCATTCCCAAAATAGTAAAATAAAGCCCAGTCTCCGCTGTTTTTGATTAGCCTATATAAAATGTACCTTGTTTGCTGTTAATAGGATGTAAAATACAATGTTAATAGAACGTAAAATACAATGTTAATAGGACGTAAAACACAAACAAACCAAACCAAACCTTGTTTTTATGATAGCATCCTCAGCTGTCCTTGACCAATCCGGACAAGGGAAAGTCCGTCCATCTGTTGTCCGAGGATTCAGACGAGAATCCGATGTGACCGACCTAGCTATGAGTCTTGACTCACCAGGATCTGGCAAACGAGGAGTGTCATCTTCATCAAAGAAGTAAGAAATAAAATAAAACGAAAAAGGATCAGATGTCTTAAAAAATATTTGGCACTATTATAAACTTAAGAAAACCAGTGTTTGTTTAAAATTTCAGGCTTACTTAAGCAAATCATGTATAATTTGTTATACCTAAGTAAGTTATAAAAGTATGTGTAGTCCCTGGTCGTTAAGTTGTTTTGTAACTTGTACTACTTTTTATTGTTTGTATGCACTTATTAGATTATTTTCCTTTTTAAAATTTCAGACATAATTTTTGGAAAAACGAAATAATAAGGGTTCCTTTAATATTCTCTTTCTGGCTGATAATTGTATGTATTAAACACATTTTGATTTATGTGGACTTGCTTTCTTTTTTCCGTACAAAGTGGAAAATCCAAGAACCTCACAGCAAGGGAGACAACCAGGCGGAAAACGTACGATGGTCGTGAGATTTTATTTATTACCCAGGATGTCCAGACAGACTGGGACTGGGTTCAGGAGGCTGAGAGGACCGGCAAGGGGAAGCAAATCATAGCAAACGAGAGTAAGCATTTAATGCTGTCTTTATTAGTGTATACCTGTAGTGCATCAGACAAAACAAAATGGTGGATAATTAACTACCAATATTTAGAAGTGAATGGTCAGAAACAAGGACACCATCGATACTCCAGGGGTTACGCTCACTTTCGCTCTCTGCACCCCTGGAATATGTCGTAGTAAAATTGAAGGCATGCGACTAGCTATTTGATTGGTCTCGGGTAAAAACGCCTGACCAATCGCTAAGGCCGATTCCTGTCCTTTGAAGGTTACGGATGAGCGACACACAACTTCAAAGCCAGTCAACTTTACTGTAATGCGACCAACAGATTGTTGTGATGTACATCAAAAGCTTAAACTAGTCATCTCATCTCTTCTCATCTCATCTCATCCTCAAGGTGGTGCACACTGAGCCTTCAATTTTTCTATTACATATTCCAGGGGTGCAGAAAGCAAAAGTGAGCATAAACCCCTGGAGTATCAAGGATGAAACAAGATGTGCCATTTGATATTAATTATTGTATGGAGTTAAAAAAAATTAGCATTTTAATTCAATGCTGATTCATTTTGATTAAGCAAAACATTGTCAAAAATTCCAACTTAGATGATACTCTGTAACTTTTTAAACATTTCACTTTTCCATATTAAATCAGTTTCCATATCACACAGTACTATTTCTACATTTCCTTTAGGAAATATAAATTTGTGTAGTATAGAATTTACAGTTTCCAGATTGTTGGGTCTGTAGTGTTACTTAAATAACAATATTCACTTTCATGTTGAATTTGATTAACCCTTTCACCGCTGTAGACAATAATGGACTCATCCATATAAATGCATGGTTGAGTCTACTAAAGTTACATAGGAGTGAAGGGGTTAATAAAAATCCAGAAAAAAATATTTCTTTTAACCCTGTTTATAGGTATTATTATAACTGTACTTTACTGTTACATAGGAGTGAAGGGGTTAATAAAAATCCAGAAAAAAATATTTCTTTTAACCCTGTTTATAGGTATTATTATAACTGTACTTTGATATGGTTTTGATATTTCAGAACCTAGCAAACCAAAATCAAAGCCAAAACAAAAAGCGAAAAAAGTCAAACCACTTGATACTGAAATATACCTACTGCGACCAAAATCAGGTTTATAATATATACGCACTGATTTGCTGTTTGTCACAAAGTGATCACGAATGGCTATAGGGTATCGGTATACATTACATAATACAAAGCTTCAATCATTATCATCTTCAGATATATTCTTACAGAGTGACAATCATATCTAACAATTTTATTCAATATTTTTTTCTATATAAAATCCAAATGTCAAATAAATTAAGATTTTGTTTTTATTTCTAATAACTTTAATTATATATACAGAAAGAAATATGATTTTGATCCGCAGGAATTAACTGGAAATTTTTATGTGTTCTGGTTGCTACAAGCCAGATATATAAACTTGCTCTGATGTAGGACACTGAACCACTGTGTGTATAGTCTAGATGTACACTGTCATCTGTACCTCTTCTCTGTGTTGGCACCACTTGTCATAATTAATCGTGTGTATTGTATATACGTATAACTGTTGATGTCATATAGATATTTCATAATGTTGTTGATTTCTCGTTTAACTCTCAGAATCAAAAGTGACCAAAATATTTTACATAAAATGTCGTAGACTACTATTAGACATAGATTTGTGGTACTGATAGGGCAGAATTGTTGTAGAAATTACTTGTGTAGTATAGTAGTACATATTGACTTTACTTGATGTACAAATGTTGTGTGTAGGGATATTGTATAGGTGGCCAGGGGCCCCCATCTATACCAAAGTAGGGACGAAACAATAGGATACAATCACAATACAATTCATGTCTCATACTAACTTCATCTAACTTAACTCATTCATCCCCTGAAGACCCATTTGAACTCTTCCAATTCAAAGATTGGAATAGTTCATTATGAAACTTCAGGGGTGAATGAGTTAATTGATTGAAATAACAGCCAATGGAACTGACAAGAGCACTGCTTTAATTGTGCTGTCAAATTTGAAGAAATTGTCTTATTTTATTATTATTTATCAATGACCTTCTGATATTTGAATTTAAAAGATTGGAGAAGTCACCATTTTTGCTATATGTTTTACATGTACTGAAGATCCAAGTATTGAAATACCGTTAAATTGTAACTTGAATGGCATCACACATGTCTGAAATGCCTTTTTAAATATTGAAAATCATAGTTGCAAACTCTTATAACTTTCAACGTAAATTTGGGTCTAGTGATGAATTGTGTTTTGTTCTGAAAAATTGTGATAGTATCAGTCATTTGTTTCATCCTCATATTAAAGGGTGTGGTATTATGATGTTGGTATTCTGTGACTTGGGGTAGTGTGTGGTATTATGATTGATGGTATTGCGTGACATCTTGGGGTAGTGTGTGGTATGATGGTATTAGGCGACTTGGGTAGTGTGTTTGGTTTAATTTCAGTCGCCTCATTAACCCATCACAATGCAAACAGCAGGATCTATACATGTACAGTATGACACAAACATTTTTTAATTTTTATTATTTTAAATGAAGCTCCTTTTTACATATTTTTTAAATTTACATTTTGGATCTAAAAAATGGTCTATTTCATAATCCTTCACATTCACCACTGGTGAAATCTTCTAAAGAATTATTTGATAATTAACACTCTGTGAACCAGTTCAGTGGTTTAGGGAGATGGTATACAGTAATAGATACTGCTGCTGTTTCACGTAATAATATCACCGCAACGTTTAGTTTCTACTCCACCATACTGTAAATCAACTGTCTGGCCATTAGAGGAAATTTAATTACCGTCTGGTCACCGTTTTGTGGGGAAATGTAATTAGTCTGGTTACAGTTTTGTGGGGAAATTTAATTACCGTCTGGTTACAATTTTGTGGGGAAATCAAAGAGTCTTGTCAGATTTTTTGCGAAAATGTATTTACAGTCTTGTCACTGTTTTGGGAGAAATGTGTTTAATGTCCGAATATTTTTACTTTCAAAAAGACTCATCTCTTCATTATACAATCGACAAGTAAATTATTTTTGAAAAGAGTTTACTATTGAAATTAAATAAACAGTTTTACGGTAATGAATGTAATCTTGTTTTTATGGTAAAGTAAAATATCTGTAACATCACTGTTTCTAAAATATTTAAAACCAGACAATGAAATTCAATGATAAATCACAGAACCAGAAAATTTAAAATTCTGTTTTTTTTGTTATTTTTTTTTTCGATGATGTATTTACTTTTGCTAAGGAAATTGATAATAAAGACTTTTTTACAAAAAAAAAGAAAAGAAAGGGGCAATAATCTGATGTATTAGGGTTTGTGGGCACGCTGACGGGGCCAAACATAGATTAACAGTACCCTGGGATTGTCTGCACCGACTGACCCTCTTTGTTTACAGGCACCCTTTCTGCGCGTGGTAAGCGAGGATCCAAGGAAGACCTTCGACGTAGTTCAGATGAGGAAGGTCGTCGAGGTAAATCTCAACAGAAGCATTTAAAGTGACAAATACGTACGGACCTCTCAGATAAACATTAGTGTGCAATGACTCACCTGTCGTTGACAGGAAAAGGAATAATTTGTATTCGGTGACTGATTATCTTCAATAAGATTCATCAGTTTGGAAATATGAAAAATCGAAGTTTTACTTTATACAATGTACGTATTAAACGTGTCGCAGCGTAAGTGATACATTTTCGTCACATCTTTATACAGGTAAACAATACAAATTGCTCGCTCAGTCATAGCTTGACAAAAGGGGCCAGTCGGTCTTGAAACGTTGCGACATATTTGATACGTACCAGTACATTGTTTGTGTATAAATTGAAGTAGTGTATAAGGTAAAACTTTGATAATATATATTTCATGTGTCAACCAGATGTGTTTTTAAAAAAACAGTCACATTTACAGAACTTTAAAGGAGATCCTCTGACAAGCATAATCGCATGTGTTATAACCACTTACATCATATCTGTAGTAATGACTTTATTTAATCAGTAGAATGTCATATATACTATAGCATACATTAGAATATTGTATATACTTTGTGTAGTGCACTGACTTAATTGAACAGCAGTATGTTATATACACTGTTCGTAGCAAGTAGATATACCTTATATATATTGTCTGTAGCACTGACTTTATTTAGATAATTTCTCTCTGTAGTACTGACATTTTCGTTTTCTCTGAGCTGGACTTTTTACTATGAGGTGAACACCCCATAGTGAGTAGTCAGGTGTATATTTTATAGAGAATTTAACCTTTTATTGTGATCTAGAACTGTGTATTCCAGTCATGAATATTATATTGGGGTGGAGAAGGGGAGGAGCAGTGAGGCTTTTATAATTGATAACATATAGGAGGTGGAACCTAAAAAGTTGTTGACATTTTATTTGTTAATATACCCTGGAACAAAACATGAGTGGTGGCACAGGTCATGTAAAAGTGCCTCCCTGCCCAGCTTGCCCCTCTGACCAGCTTGCCCCCNCGGTTCTCTACTTTTATTTAAAAGACATTCTCTAGTTACATAATTAGGTTTACATATTTATATTATATATAAGTTATACTTCTCAACACATACAACCTGCCCACAGTAGTTGGGGGTTCAGGCTGTATATCCATATAACCTACCCCTGTAATAAAAATTCTAATTATTCTGTGGTAGTTACACATTATCAAAGGTCAGTAATAATATGTAGTTATTAGTTATTCCTTCATATCTTTGAATTAAAAGGTATGCTTAATAATTATGCGTAATCAGCATTTATACTAGATATGGATCGGGATGAACAATGAATGTATGCTAAGAAATTGTGTGTAGTTGAAATCAATGAAGGTCTGGATGAGTAAATGAGTATAGTAATGATGTGTACCACAGGTAAAGCAGACGGTCCCGAGGGACAGAAGAAAGGAAAAGATGGAGTGAGTGATGGTAAGAAAGATGACAAAGCCGGAGGCAGATCATCCTACCCCTTCCCAGACAATGATGAGTTTGGAATACCGATGTTAGAACTCAGCAGTGACACAGACTCGGTACGTATACTCTATCAATTAGTCAACTTCAACAATGAACTTTTTACCTAAAATCTAAACAGTTACGGACCTAGTAGGAGGGTGATATGAAGATTTGTTTACCTGAAGCGGTCATATTCCAAAAGTGTTTAGCCAAAAGGGAATATGACTGCTGGAGGTTAGGTTTTGTTAAAATCAAATCAAAAAGTAAATGTTTTAAATATTAATACCTTGAGATTTGGCCAAGCAGCTGTCAGCCTTTATTGTTATTAATGTAATAAAGGGTGATAACTCTGGTAGAGATTTTTATTTTGAGAAAAACTTCCGATAAGGGTAAGCACTAATGGATGAGACCATGTTTTGTCGACATTGAGCACATAGAACTGTGAAATATAATGTCTCAAAGTTATATGAGTGAATCAGAGACAAAGTAACGTAGATAAGATGTCTGTTATAACTGGTATGATACATGTATTGGTATGTATGTATTATTCTGTCCTACTTTCTGATGTTTACACATTCATCCCCTGCATATCTAAACTGGACTTGCCCAGTCATTGATTTGGTAAGGTTCAAATGGGGTTTCAGGGATGAATGGTTTAACACAGTGTACTGTCCTGAACTACTGTATACAGTGAAATTTTGTCTCCCAGTCAAACTTTCGCCCTTACCCTGTGATATCCAAATTCACCCAGTGTAAGTTTCACTTTTCACATTTAATTACTATGTAAATTATGTTGTTGACTGCTGTTCGCTGTAATGATAAATTATTCTCCCACCCTTCACAGGTGTGTCTCCCGTTTTAGCCGGGAAAGATCAGCTTGTCACCCCCTAGGGGGAGATAGCCTCGTGCCGATTAGCACGTGTTCAACTGTGACGTCATTAAAATGTGTCACTGGCAATTGTACTGTGACGTCATCAAAAGTGAATGACGATATTCATACCCCACATGTGTAAAACAGACAACTGTCGGTGGAGCTGTGACTGAAATAATAGGACGGGAGAAAAATAATCATCCCCTGCCTTGAGGGTGTAACAGAGAAATCCAAACCCTCGGGTTGGGGATTTCTCGGTCACACCCTCAAGGAAGGGGAAGATTCTTTTGGTCTTAATTCATTCCAGGAGACGAAATTGGCGAAAATTAAACTGCAGTGAAAATTGTCCCTATTGATGATAAGATTATAGTATTAAACAGAATGATAGGCATTGAAAACATCAACACACATAGAATATGATTTTATTGATGAATTAGACCTTGCCTGTTTGTAAACCTGTCTGTCGTGATACGGGAATTTAACTTGTGTACATGTTTGTAACAAAAGAGTTCCGATGAGGATGCATACAACAAGAAAACAACAGACGATCGGAATTTTATGCCGAGTGTCGGACCTCCTCAGATTCTACAGGTATTCGTGTGGTTTGTGTAGAATTCATTAACACCTGGTTTGGAGTGTATAGATTCCAGCAAACCCTAGCCTGCTTGATCATCCTTCTTGATATTCCTACTTAAGCTTTCTGAAAGATTCATGTCCCACGCCGTGAGGAAAAAATCCGTGAGATTTTGCCTTATGCTGTGAGATCTGGCATGCATGCTTTCAAGCTGGTCCTTTCAGCTCATCTTTCCTGATATTCCTTCCTGATGATCCTTCCTGATACTCCTCCCTGATGATCCTTCCTGATACTCCTTCCTGATGATCCTTCCTGATACTCCTCCCTGATGATCCTTCCTGATACTCCTTCCTGATGATCCTCCCTGATGATCCTTCCTGATACTCCTCCCTGATGATCCTTCCTGATATTCCTCCCTGATGATCCTTCCTGATGATCCTCCCTGATGATCCTTCCTGATACTCCTCCCTGATGATCCTTCCTGATATTCCTCCCTGATGATCCTTCCTGATGATCCTCCCTGATGATCCTTCATGATACTCCTCCCTGATGATCCTTCCTGATATTCCTCCCTGATGATCCTTCCTGATACTCCTCCCTGATGATCCTTCCTGATGATCCTTCCTGATACTCTTCCCTGATGATCCTTCCTGATACTCCTCCCTGATGATCCTTCCTGATACTCTTCCCTGATACTCCTCCCTGATGATCTTTCCTGATACTCCTCCCTGATGATCCTTCCTGATACTCCTCCCTGATGATCCTTCCTGATATTCCTTCCTGATATTCCTTCCTGATGATCCTTCCAGCAGCTTATCTTTTTACACTAGCTTATCTTTCCACCTGTTACTGCTAATTCTGCAGCTAATATTTTTACACCAGCTTATGCAGCTACGGTAATCATTTTACACTAGCTTGTCTTTCCATCTGTTACAGCTAATTATGCAGCTTATCTTTTTACACGAGCTTATCTTTCCACCTGTTACTGCTAATTCTGTAGCTAATCATTTTACACTAGCTTATCTTTCCACCTGTTACTGCTAACTCTGTAGCTAATCTTTTTACACTAGCTTGTCTTTTCATCTGTTACAGCTAATTATGCAGCTAATCATTTTACACTAGCTTGTCTTTCCATCTGTATAATTAGCTGTAACAGATGGAAAGACAAGCTAGGGTAAAATGATTAGCTGCATAATTAGCTGTAACAGATGAAAAGACAAGCTAATTATGCAGCTAATCATTTTACACTAGCTTGTCTTTCCATCTGTTAAAGCTAATTTTGCAGCTAATCTTTTTACACTAGCTTGTCTTTCTATCTGTTACAGCTAATTATGCAGCTAATCATTTTACACTAGCTTGTCTTTCCATCTGTTACAGCTAGTTAGGCAGCTAGTCATTTTACATTAGCTTGTCTTTCCATCTGTTAAAGCTAATTTTGTAGCTAATCTTTTTACACTAGCTTGTCTTTCTATCTGTTACAGCTAATTTTGCTATACTAGCTTGTCTTTCAAGCTAGTACTGTTACAGCTAAACCTGTAGCTAATAATTCTACCTTAGCTTTGTATTCCTTCATGGTTAAAGCTAATCCTGGCAGCCTCAGATCTAGAGCACACCTGGCTAAGCAGGTTCTTTGGCTAACATGCATGTAGATGTTCACTGGTTCTGTAATTTGATTGTGGTAACAGCTATAATAACATGCACAATAACAATAAATTTATAATTGAATGGAATTTTCAGCATGCGTTACATAATATAAGCATGTATTGTATGTATGTATACTGTATGTATGTAGACTGTATGTATGTAATATAATAACACTATAGTATCTTATGGTGTAATCTGATGTCATCTTTTCTGAAATTATCTTGTCTCTAACCATAGTATGTAGTGTAGTAAGTATGATCAAATCTGTGTTACAGTGGTGGAATGTATAGATCATGTGACTTGTCACGTGATTGGTCATGTGACTGGTAGTGTTGACAAATGTTATAATTAATGTTACTGCACCATTAGAATATCACTTGTTTATATGTTTTTTTGTCGTCAACAAGTTATTTTATAAAGGGAGGTAAGCTGGGGAGAGGAAGGGATTTAAACAAAATTTACTCACGGAAGTTTAATATTCTTTTATTGTGTGACACAATGATTTATGAAATAACAATTAATACAGTAGATAATTGTGATCTTCACAACCTAGAATTTTGTTTTTCTTCTTTTAAGATATGAAAATAAGGACAGGGTATATATGTTAAAGCTACATGGGTGGTCGGGTGGTGCAGTGGATAGCGCTCTTGTCTTTCACCACGGCGACCAGGGTTTCGATTCCCCGATCGGACGTGAAAAGGTATGGGGTCACCTGCCCGACCACGTGGGTTTTCTCCGGGTACTCCGGTTTCCTCCCACATTAAGACCCCGTGTGCTAACATCCGGGCCAACAAGAGTGATTGATATAAGTTGAAATAACTTGTTTCATAATTGTTGTAAAATAAATAAAGTTTACATGTGGTATTCCGAGTATTAGCATATATGTGTAGTTTGAGGATGATGTGAGTCTACATGTGTTTGGGTAGTGCAGCACGTTTTCTGTTAGAGGATGATATGACAAACATTTTGTATGATATAATAAATGTATTTTGTAATATAACAAGCATAAATGTTTTGATTTGAGATATTGTATAATGTCTAGAAATTCACTAATTTAACACAGATGTTAAAAGATTCAACAAATTGAGAACTGTTGGCGGCTCCATATGTGATTCTGTCTTTGCCACCATTATGGATTTAAGATTTTTCAGATGAATCTATTATGAATTTTTTACAATGCTTGCAGCATTTTTCAATAATGGAAAAATCTAAGCATTATCTTCAGAATTAAGTGTTGGAATCATTTTGTATACATTACAAATATTTCCTGCAAATGAGTGCCAAACAGAACACTTTTTTAAGAGAAGTAAATTATTTGACCAAATAGTTCTATTTCTGAAAATGTCTGTCATTGACAGTCAAAAAAATTCTTCATAATTTAATTTTGATTTTATATTTCATCCATCAGTATATCCGAGAATCTGAGAAACAGGAAGTGGATATGGATGACCCGGGGGCACTGGAACAGGTCTCTGAGGAGGATGAGGACTACCCAGTGGATGAACACGGCCGCTCCCTCGGCATGCTGGGAGGACACTGTGAGTTCTGCGAGAAGGACATCAAGCTGTTCCCAACGCTGGAACAACAACAGAATCAGCCCCCTGAGGAGTTGTACTGCTGTAACCAGTATCGGGAGTTTGTTGAGTTTGCTACCAGCCAGACTGCCATTATGGAAGAGGAACACAAGAGCAAAACCAAGATGATAAGTGTCAAGTCCCACCCTCGCCACGGGGACAAACAGGCGCGGCTGGCTGCCCGGGAGAGAGCAGAGAGAAGGTGGGCAATACTCTTTTATCATTCAAATAAGGACAAGAAATATACCTGCAAAGAGAGTTATACCTTAGAATTTCTTGATCGTGATTTTCTTCATTTTCTTTCCAACATTTTATTTTGCTTGGAGTCAAGATTGTAAGGGGAATATTATGTCACTGTGTGTGAGGCTATTTTCACATCCATCTCTGTTGTCACAGTCAAAGAACTTTCATGTGAGAAATACATTTTTATGACTGTCCCCAGGATCAGAGAACGTGAGATGCAGCGCAGGCAGCAAGAAGTGTCAGGCATGCAGCAGCAGGCCTTCATGGCAGGTAGGTCAGACGACTACCACTGGCACAGACGTCTGATTGGATGGTCTGGTCATGTGACTTTCTGTGATTAGATAGGGTCATTATATAGCACGACCATTATATTTATTGAATGATTTTGTCATGTGACCCAATGACAGGATTTGCATTTAGTGCCTTGCATGATGAGTTTGGGATTGGTAAGGACTCTGTTAATCTCCCTCCTTCCTCTTGTTGGTTTTACCAGTTATAATACCTGTGGTTTACACTTTTAAAATTTCTAAATTCTAATGGGTTTATTTCAAACTAATCCAAAATTTGCTAACCCATTCACTTGATTGGTGTTTCAGACGAATCCATTATTTAAATAAATGTATAGTTTCCTGTTAGTGCTTCAGAATATTATATTTACTTTTTTCTCTTTTACAATATATTATATATATATATATATGTATATGCAGGAATTAACACAGATTTCTGAAAACAAAAGCCCTTAAATTACACATTTTACCACCTTATAAATAAATATTTAATCACTGTTTCATTCCTTTTAATGTATACTATATTCTATATCCCAATAACACAGTCTATTTGATATTTCAGGTGATATGGAGATACTCCTATTTAATCATGTATTGTGATAGAACAAATAAAAATATTCCTAATTTTCCTTCTGCAAATATTTCTATTACTTCTTTTCATATTGCAGAGTTATCTGCTCTTGTGAGCAGGTATTGATTGTTGCGTCGTTTTCACCAAAATGTATGACGTTACTCTCACAAACAAATGACGTAACAATTGATACCTGCTCACAAGAACAGATATACTCTGCAATACGAATAGACGGAATACCTAAATATCATCCAGCTTATTGACACCCTGTGTAGCCTCAGTATCTAAGGGACACCTCTGATATAAAAACACTAACATTTTATATTCCACCCTCCAGTTTATCCTTGTCATATTCCTCCTATGGTAGATGACACCTGATGACCTCACCCCTCAATCTCCTTCCCAAACTCTGTGTTTGCTAAATTTGCAGTGATATTACAGAGCTTGATTTGGCCGCGATTTGTCCAGAAGCTGTATATAATTATACTAGCTAGATTTTGCAATGATTTTTAGCAACAAGAAATGCATGTACACAAGATCTATTTTTTCAATCTGTGGTTTGCTAGAAATCTTAAATCTATATTGGGTCTAATCATATTCACAAGGTCCAGATGGTTGTGACACTTTAGAACTTGGAAGATTTCCATCTAATATCCAATCTGCTCATCTGATTTATAAACATATATTGTATATGTTGTATAATAAAGTTCCCTGTAATGAGAAATTCGCCCTCATTATGGAGGGCCAAAAAGGCCAAAATTAAACTGCATTGAAAATGTCCCTTTATTCATTTTACGACCACATCGATACTTACTTATAAAGGATACAGTCAAATTAATTCATTAATGCATTATTTCATTAATGGCAGTCTGTCCGTCTTGAATTGATAGGTTAAAAATAAAATAGAATTGAAAATTATTCACATTATTAGCTAGAAATATGCATTTAATAAGCATTTGCTAAAATGTTCACTAAGTCAGCAAGAACCCTTATCTGTTACCTACTTCCTGAAATTATATGCAATGCAAGACTATAGTGTTTCAATATTCAAAAAATGCATAACAGCCCATAGAACTGTTTTTGATTTCAAATAGAAATATAAAAGATCATTTCATTGTGTTTAGCTTTTCGATAATTCAAATTTAAAAATCCAATTTAACAAAAGTACAGCTTGTTAATTTTAAAAAATGTTACCGGTATTTGAAAATGAAACTATTTTGTTAAATTGTACAGTGTATTAATTTAAAAAAAAAAAAAAAAAGATTAGATTGATATTATTGCTGAAACATTATGTTGTATGGATTGTTGTCACATTTTATGCATGTCTCTATTTTGTCTATAACATTGTGGTACCTGATAACACTTAACATTCTCCCCCATGCCTACCCAGGAGTACAACAGGGCAACTCCTCGTATGGTAGGTCTGACAGCTGACTGCCATCCATGAAAAACTCTCCATTCTTTGTCACGTTTACTCCTCCCTCTCCTAAATCAACAACAAAATGGCTGGAAAACTTGCATATTTTCACCTTTCAGTATTTTTTAATTTTTTAATTTTTAAATATATTTTTGTAAGGGTTCTACATTTTGTACTAAGGGAAAATATTGTTTCAATTTGGGAACTATGTTATTTTGAAGGTAAGAACTCAAAAAAGGAAAAGCTTTTGTCATTTCGTTGTTGTATTACATTGATTTTAAGTTTGTAATTCTGTTTATTTTTCATCAAAGAGCCAAACTTAAAAAAACATATACCATATCACCATTTTTCACATTCAAACGTTTATTCATTTACTGGTAATACTCTCAGACCAGAGAAAGATATAATTTTAATGACTTTTAACTTTGGCTTTTTGACCATTACTAATCTTTTCAACCCACATGATTACTATCTAAACTTCCTGACATGTTGTGGACATGTGTAATCACGTGGGTTGAGACGGGCCAGCTGGCCAGCTAACCATATATTCTTAGCCAGTTCTTTCCAGCTGACCTTCCTAGTGAGGCTGATCATCTTACCTCTCCCAAGTTTTCCTATCATGCTTGTCCTAGATTTTTGTGACAGTGTATTGACTTTGTATAACAGGCAAATCTAAAGGCATGGGCAACCCCCACGGACAGCAGATGTATAGCCATAAAGACAGTGGTAGGTGGCGCTCTACGAGGGGGCATACACTTTCGCTTCTGTGATCCTGTACGCACCGCACTGGGGAAGGGTCAAGGCTTTTTTATTGTATATAAGGGTCACTCCCTGAGACTTATTTCAGTCCTGGAGACAGGGGTCGATCTTTAACAGGGGTGAGTCCTATATTCAGGAGACGACTCCCTGTAACAGTTTGACCCCTGACCTTGAGTCGCACAGGACCTGAAATATGGGTAGATGTTTGCTGTCACAACTTAGCTGGATTTCATTTTCACATAGAAATATCAAAAACACCAATTTTGATCACTTTCATCACAGCTTGTTGTAGAACAAGAAGTAAACTTAAACTTCGTTATCATTTTATTTCTGCATGTTTCAAAACTGTATAATGCCATTTACCTGGTAACCCTTCCACCACTGCAAACCAGAATGGACTCATCCAGATCAATGCACGGTAGAGTCTACTAAAGCTACATAGGGGTGAAATGGTTAAAGGCAGTTGTGAACTGCTTACTTAAATGACAATATATACAGAACGGTGAAGTAGGTAATGTAGAAAACAATGACTACAGTACAATATCACGTTTGTCTTACACTTTAATTAGTTATTTTATTGCACAGGATGTGTTTTTATGCTTTTTTAAAGAATTGCTGCTATTTTAGTTTAAAACTGCCGTTGACTTTACCTGTCATCAAACTTTATAATACGTCACTGTATCTCAATTCGTTGAGCACTTTTATACATTAAAATTGAAGTAAAAACTATATTATGAGTTTATAATCAGCAAATAGACATCTACCCGAGGGAGGGGGGTTGCTAACACTTCTGGTGACTATAGCAGACAAATATATTATCTTAAATTACTGATTTATATATATTGGTGGTACAATATTGCTTACCTGTGCGATAGGTATGCTATATAATATGTAACGTCCAGATTACTGATTTATATATATTGGTGGTACAATATTGCTTTCCTGTGCGATAGGTATGCTATATAATATGTAACGTCCCGATTACTGATTTATATATATTGGTGGTTCAATGTTGCTCACCTGTGGGACAGGTATGCTATATATATATATATGTAACGTCCAAATTACTGATTTATATATATTGTTGGTTCAATGTTGCTTACCTGTGGGACAGGTATGCTATATGTGATATCAAAATTACTCATTTATATATATTGGTGGTACAATATTGCTTACCTGTGCGATAGGTATGCTATATAATATATAACGTCCAAATTACTGATTTATATATATTGGTGGTTCAATGTTGCTTACCTTTGGGACAGGTACACTATATCGAACTTCCTCTGGGGGATTCGTTTGCTATGTGCTATATGGTCGCAAAACACTATATCTGGTGGCCAGTAATCGCCGGGCTATATATAGACATATCTACTGTAGCGTACTGGCAAAACGTTGTTTCTGTGTTATGTTGAATGTTGTGTGTCGCGTGCTGCATGTGTAGTAGCTAGATATCGTGTGTGCATGTTTACAACTAGACTTGCAAGAGTTTGTACGTAGACAGTAGTGAAGTAGATAAATACTGACTTGTTTTACTCATGTTCAAATATGTCATCAACGTACGGGTCAGCCTCTGAATTAAACCTCCAATGAAGGAGATCTCCCTCAATCCACATTTCAAATGAGGGAGAAAGCGCGTGAAACGCGATTGAAACTGCTTCGATAAATTTATCTTCCCTCTTTATGTATTTAAATAACTCCAAAAAACATTCATTTGATTCATGCACACCTGTTATGATCATTACACACACCCTGCAGTATCTAGGAAATCATTTGAACCCGAGATGTAGATTTTGAGTTTGTGTGAGTTTGGACTTAAATGGGAGAGTTTCGAAGGAGATTGGTAAATTTTAGTCAAAATGAAGAAGTCTCCCTCCTAATGAGGGAGGGTTGACAGCTATGCATGAATAAGATCTCATCATCTATATCACACAGATAATCTTCCTGGCCCGTGGCCATGGTATCAAACATCAATTGTTAGCACTCATCACAGGATCAGTTTTGTGGTTTATATTTACGCTAAGGATGTTCCCTTTGACACCAAGATTGAGTATTAGATGGAAATATTTGCAGATATATTAAAAGGATGTTAATGAAATGTCAGTATGACAGTATAGAGAGCGGTGAGTTGATGAATGTCGGGTCGGTAACTTCTGTGTCTTGTCTGGTCCAAATATTCCTAAATGTTTTTCATCCTCTGAAAGACTGGATTCAATTCTTCAAAGTTAATTTTTTTTTGGTTGAAGTATTGAAATTTCTGTTTCAACCAATAAAATTAACGTATTGAACGAGTGTCTTTCTTTTCATTGGAGAACATGTATGAATATTTAAGACCTGGTGCTAAGTTGTATTCATAAGAGTGTCAAAAAAAATTATATCCCTAAATCTGTAACAGATGCTTTCCTGAGTTGTCTTTCCTTGGTTGTTGGATACGACAGTAGGTGTCTCTGTGTGAGTATTATACACGGCGCTACATTAACACCTGTACAACAAAACAGGCCTTGATCGAAAAATCTTGTTTTGAGTTTCGGAATTTGAACTGGACCAATGACAATTAAAATTACGAATAAAAAAACTAAACTAACATTAAACTTCATTGATCAAGTTCATTCAAACTCTAAAGAGATGTTTTCTTATCCGAGGCCGTTACCATGCTTCTCTGGTTGTATAAGGTATAAACAAGATTTATATCAAATCTAAAACAGTTAATGTAACAGATAATCATTATTAAATGCTTATCATAAAAATAACTAAGAGTAACCAATATCATTACAGTATAGACTAATGATAAAACTGACAACCATAAAAATTAATTATAATTATAACAATAACATATGGTTAATTTTGTTATTGAGTTCTTAAGTATTGTTTCATATTATTGAAATATTTTAACAAAACAAAACAAAAATATTTTACAAGATAATATAAAATTCAGTGTTTCAAAACTTTGCTTATTATGTTGAAGTAACTGAAATAAACATTCATGATTAGAAAAAAATAGAAGGAATTTTTTAATATAAAGTGGAGAAGTAACAAAACTCAGTATTACTGGAGAAGTATAAGCTGTTTGTTGCACAATCTAGAAGATTCGGAGGAAGAACTACACATCGCAACACCTGCTGAAACACCGATACCCTCATCAGCCTCTCCGGTTTCACCGGTTTCGAAGGCGAAGGTGTCAAAAAAGACAAAAAAGTCCAAAGCTAAAGTTCACAGGCCAAAGCCGCCCGCGCGGGTGAAACCAGCGAAGCCCAAAAGTGGGCCGAAACGTAAATTTATGGGCACTACCCAATCTTTCGCGGGAAAAACAGGATTTCAAGGTATCAGTACTGTTCAGGAAAGGAAATAAAATGTGTGTGTATGTGAATTACATGTATGTGTGGACTGTTGAGAGTTTAACTCATTCACCCCTAATATTGCATAATGAACTATTCCAACCTTTGAAATGGAAGAGTTCAAATGTGTCTTCAGGGGTGAATGAATTAAAGTGAACTGAAAGTGCAACAAATGCTTGTGTTAATTAGAAATACCCCAAGTGTGAAAGAACATACTTGTACATGTACATACTTGAAGGAATAAGTTGACATTCTGCCATGTTTGTTATTTCGTGTCATTTTTAGATCATTTGCACTCACATTTCACATGTAGCTTTATGTCTTTAGCAGCAAGCACAGTGATTCATGGACAGTGTTTTTATTGACTCTGTACATCCATTCATATTTGCGAGTTTAAAAATGTAATATCTTCCATGTCATTCATATTTCGCTCATTATCAGCTATATATATATAATATATAATAGTAAATCATCTTAAAAACTTATTATATATTCAAAAAAATTCTAATTAAAACTTAAAATGATTTGATATTTCCTGAATTTATCTCTGAGAGATAATCAAATATATCTAAAAGAAATCAATAACATGGATTACCTCCCTTGCAGTTGCCCGCCAGATGAAGACGATAAACTACATGTTATCCTCGCAGAGATGTCTGGAGGAGGGTTGGACCATCCGGGCCCCAAGTCCCTTGTTACCGGAGGAACACGAGGACATTTTTGTCCCCGAGCCCCTTAACCCTGCCATGATAGCCTCAGGAAATGTAAGTTATATTAGTGAAGTTACTGTGAAAGCAGGTGTTTTCTCGGGGCCCATATTTCGTAGTTTCCCAATAAAAACACCATTTCCAAGGTACATGAATTTGTGGATTACAAGTACCCATTCATACGGAGAATGTCAAACTTCCCAATGTACATGAATTTGTGGATTACAAGTACCCAATCATACGGAGAATGTCAAACCTGTAAATACTTCGTGGACCTATGAATTTGTGGATGAAGAGTACCCACGAAATCAATCAAATTGAAAACCCCACGAAAATTAGTGATTTAACAGTACCATTAACATTAGGCTTCAGGTACCACAGTATTTCTTAACATGTATTAACTGAGGTGAACATACAGTTTTGTATCTTCTAGGTATCTATATTCTACCATAATTAGCTGCATCCTTATTTTGGTACAACCATTGATCCTATATGAGGTTCACATGAGACTTTGCATCCCCATTCTTAACCCCCACTTTGTCCCCACTTGTACACTTGCTCACGTCCTTAAATGACCTCGGCTGTTGATAGGACGTTGAACAATAAACAACATAAAACCATACACTAGCTGCTATATAAGATATCCAATATCTGAAGGTAAGTTTAGTTTTATCAAATTGATAATCTCTGATAAAAATGTGTCAAAAAATAACATTATTTTGATAAAATGATGAATATTGGTGATATTGTATAACAGTTTGACTGTGCAGGTTTGTAAGACCACATTTACTGATGTATTTCTAACTTGATATGTTTACAGTTGTATGACCGACCTCTGATAGAGAAGTTCTATGAAGATGGGCAGAAATTCCTTACCATGTTCCCTGATGGAACCGGAAATGTTTTGTATCCTTGAGGGCTTAGAACTTTGTTGCACAAACAATGTCACACACTTACACTACAACATACATACAATGTCACACACTTTCAGTATGACACACATATGGTACAATGTCACACACATACTGTTACACTACGACATACATACAATGTCACTCACTTACACAACAACATATATACAATGTCGCACACTTTCAGTATGACACACATATGGTACAATGTCACACACTTTCAGTATGACACCCATATGGTACAATGTCACACACTCTCAGTATGACACACATATGGTACAATGTCACACACTTTCAGTATGACACACATATGGTACAATGTCACACACTTTCAGTATGACACATATATACAATGTCACACACTTTCAGTATGACACACATATGGTACGATGTCACACACTTTCAGTATGACACACATATGGTACAATATCACACACTTACACTACAACATACAAACATACAATGTCAAACACTAACACTACAACATACATACAATGACACACTTACACTACAACATACATACATACAATGTCACACACTTACACTACAACATACATACATACAATGTCACACACTTATACTATAACATACATAAATACAATGTCACTTACTTACACTATGACATACATACAATGTCACACTTGCAGTTACACTATGACTTACATANCACACACTTACAGTTACACTACGACATACATACAATATCACATGCTTACACTACGACATACATACAATGTCGCACACTTACACTACGACATACATACAATGTCACACACTTACACTTTGACATACATACAATGTCACACACTTACACTACAACATACATACAATGTCACACACTTACACTATGAAAAACATACAATGTCACACACTTACACTATTACAAACATACAATGTCACACACTTACACTACGACATACATACAATGTCACACACTTACACTACAACATACATACATACAATGTCACACACTTAAACTATAACATACATAAATACAATGTCACTTACTTACACTACGACATACATACAATGTCACACTTGCAGTTACACTATGACTTACATACAATCTCACACGCTTACACTACGACATACATACAATCTCACACGCTTCCACTACGACATACATACAATCTCGCACGCTTACACTACGACATACATTCAATCTCACACGCTTACACTACGTCATACATACAATGTCACACACTGACACTACGACATACATACAAGGTCACACACTTACACTATCACAAACATACAATGTCAAACACTGACACTACAACATACATACAGTGTCACACACTTACACTACAACATACATACAAACGCACACACTTACACTACGACATACATACAATGTCACACACTTACACTATGACATACATACAATGTCACACACTTACACTACGACATACATACAATCTCACACGCTTACACTACGACATACATACAATGTCACACACTTACGCCACGACATACATACAATGTCACACACTTACACTATGACATACATACAACGTCACACACTTACACTATGACATACATACAATGTCACACACTTACACTACGACATACATACAATCTCACACGCTTACACTACGACATACATACAATGTCACACACTTATGCTATGACATACATACAATGTCACACTTACACTACGACATACATACAATGTCACACACTTACACTATGACATACATACAATGTCACACACTTACACTATGACATACATACAATGTCACACACTTACGCTACAACATACATACAATGTCACACTTACACTACGACATACATACAATGTCACATACTGACACTACGACATACATACAATGTCACACACTTACACTATGACATACATACAATGTCACACACTTACACTACAACATACATACATTGTCACACACTGACACTACGACATACATACAATGTCACACACTTACGCTACAACATACATACAATGTCACACTTTCACTCCGACATACATACAATGTCACACACTTACACTATGACATACATACAATGTCACACACTTACACTAGGACATACATACAATATCACATGCTTACAAAACCACACCCTTACAAAAGTAGACATTTAGATTTAATGATGACAAGAAAGAATGTCATAATTTTCATAGACAATGTTTATAAATTTTCGAGACCAATTTTGAAAGTGAAATTCTGCAATTGATCTTTGTGAAGATGTGTCAAACATTAAACCTCTTTTTGACCTTGACTGTTGCTTAGTTATCCCTCTGGGAATCTTGCAATATCTATCTCGTCTGTGACTCTAGGCCAGTACACCTATGTTGTACAAGAGGACTCCGACCTACCAGTCATCCTCTCAGTGTTTGAACCTAATGGATATGCCACCTGTTATCATCCTAACAATGTTATCAGGTAAATATTTTATCAGATTAGAAATACATTGTTATCATCATACCAATGTTATCAGGTAGGGATGTTTTTAGATAAGATATACATTATCATCCCAACAATGTTATCATCCTAACAATGTTATTAGGTAGGGATGTTATAATAGAAATACAGTGTTATCATCCTAACAATGTTATCAGGTAGGGATGTTATAATATAAATACAGTGTTATCATCCTAACAATGCTATCAGGTAGGGATGTTATCAGATTAGATATACATTGTCATCCTAACAATGTTATCAGGTAGGGATGTTATAATAGAAATACAGTGTTATCATCCTAATAATGTAATCATGTAGGGATGTTATAATAGAAGTACAGTGTTATCATCCTAACAATGTTATCAAGTAAATATGTTGTTGACTGAAAGCTGTAGAGAATAAATGTTATAAGTGATATCGGGAACAGGTATTATAGGATATGGTATCATCCTCACAATTTTATCAGGTAAATTTTTACTATCTGATAGCCATTCCATGTAATACTTTATAAATCTTATCAGGAAAGTGCTATCAGTTATCAGGTATTACCAGGTAGGAATGTTATCAGATTAGAAATACCTTGTTATCATCCTCACAATATTGGTATCTGATAGTCAGGCCATGTAATTACATATAAACTAAATATTGTCAGGTCAAGTTATCAGGTGTTATCAGGGAAAGATGTTATCATGTAAGAAATACCATGTGATGTATAACATAGCAATGCTATCAGGTAAGTATTATTAGGATCATGCCATGTAATCATCTTAACAATGTTATCAGATAAAAGTGAAATCATATCATGTTATGATCAATCTACCGTTGTGGCTAATGTTTTTGACTTGACGTACCATTATATCTTGACAGACTTGTGTAGGTTTCATAACATGCTTTCACCCTAGCAATATAAACAATTGACTATAGTTCCTAATATTTATAACTTGATGTAGTATCTTATTTCATTGCAGACTGGTAGATACCAACTTTGAACAATACATAACCAATAGACTGTATCGACTATATTATTTTTGTAGGCTGTGTATGGAGCCATTTGGTGGAATAGAACTTGATGCCTTCGGTAACCGTAGAAGACGATGGAGCTGGAAGGACCAGGAGACCCATGTCCACGCTCCTCCGTTTCAGCCGATCCACTTTGGGCTAAACAAGTACACGGGAGTACGCGTGATGAGTCAGGACCGTATAGCCCTCACACTTAGTGCCAAACAACGCAGCTGTCGCTTCAATGTTGGCGCTAAACTTAAGGTAAGTCAGGTATTACAATAAAGATATTCTTACACCTTTTTTTTTTTTGATGCTACCAAGTTTTAAACAAATTTGACAAATTTCTACATCTTAAATAATTTAACAGCTGTTAATAATGAAAAGATCATTTAAAAATGAAGAAATGAAAGTTTTATTTTCATTTGTCTTTTTTGTATTTCAGTTAATCAATCCTGAGAGTGTTCCATCCAAAGAGTTAGACGACACCTTGATATTTTTAGATGATAAGAAGAATCGTGTTGAGTAAGTAAAGAGACAGAAAGTTTTCAAATGATGTAGATATCATATATTAACTTGTCTCACCACTTCCTAAAGTCTAATGATAATTATTAATTAATTAATTAGTCACTTCAGATGCATTACCAGTTGCAACCCTGCAGGTCGGGGTTCAAGGAAAGAATATACCTACTGTTAGCCTCGGCATGTATCATAAGGGGTGACTAATGTAGGAACCCGCTGCAGAATTGGGGATTTAGTTTTTGTGCCCTCTACTTGGGGACACAACAGCGATCAAAATAAATCTGATGCACCCATTGTTATATTAGGGATCTTTGTATCTCTTTCTATTGCTAACTATCATTTCCTACCCCCTTTCTTGGTAAATCCTTACTTTTGGCTTTAATGTTGAGCAGACTTCTAAGTAGGATAGGCAACGGGTTCTGTCCCCAGGCTGAGGCATACCAAAGTCCTTAACAATGGTTACAGGTAGCAGTGATTTCCTGCTTAACGTTCAGCAATTTAGGGTAATAACTAGTTTACCCATTGTCATTGTGATTGGGTGGAAAACTGATGGATGCCCTCGGCATGGCATTTCAGTGAGATAGCACTATAAAGTTGGCATCAGATCCCCGATATCACATGGTGGCAAATACACCAACACTCCACCACATACACACAAGCACACATTCATAATACACATGGAGGCACATCCTTAAATGACCTTAGCTGCTCACATAGACCAGCCGCAAATAGACCAGCGTCATCTAAAACAGACCTCAAATAGACTAGCCTCATCTAAAACAGTCCTCAAATAGACCAGCCTCACATATACCAGCCTCAAGTAGACCAGCCTCATCTAAAACAGTCCTCACAAAGACTAGCCTCATATAAAACAGTCCTCAAATAGACCAGCCTCATCTAAAACAGTCCTCATATAGACCAGCCTCACATAGACCAGCCTCATCTAAAACAGACCTCAAATAGACCAGCCTCATCTAAACTTAAACAGTCCTCATATAGACCAGCCTCACATAGACCAGCTTCATCTAAAACAGTCCTCAAATAGACAAGCCTCATCTAAAACAGTCCTCAAATAGACCAGCCTCATCTAAAACAGTCCTCATATAGACCAGCCTCATCTAGACCAGCTTCATCTAAAACAGTCCTCATATAGACCAGCCTCACATAGACCAGCCTCATCTAAAACAGACCTCAAATAGACCAGCCTCATCTAAACTTAAACAGTCCTCATATAGACCAGCCTCACATAGACCAGCTTCATCTAAAACAGTCCTCAAATAGACAAGCCTCATCTAAAACAGTCCTCAAATAGACCAGCCTCATCTAAAACAGTCCTCATATAGACCAGCCTCATCTAAAACAGTCCTCAAATAGACCAGCCTCATCTAAAACAGTCCTCATATAGACCAGCCTCATCTAAAACAGTCCTCAAATAGACCAGCCTCATCTAAAACAATCCTCATATAGACCAGCATTATCTAAAACAGTCCTCATATAGACTAGCTTCATCTAAAACAGTGCTCAAAAAAGACCAGCCTCATCTAAAGCAGTCCTCATATAGACCAGCCTAACATAGACCAGCCTCAAATAGACCAGCCTCATCTAAAAAAAATCCTCATAGAGACAAGCCTCATCTAAAACAGTCCTCAAATAGACCAGCCTCATCTTAAACAGTCCTCCAATAGACCAGCCTTATCTAAAACAGTCCTCAAATAGACCAGCCTCATCTAAAACAGTCCTTATATAGACCAGCCTCATCTAAAACAGTCCTCATATAGACCAGCTTTATCTAAAACAGTCCTCATATAGACCAGCCTCAAATTGACCAGCCTCATCTAAAAAACAAATCCTCATATAGACCAGCCTCATTTAAAACAGTCACCCAATAGACCAGCCTGATTTTAAACAAATGGACCAGCTTCATTTTTGAAAACAGTCACACAGAACTAATTTAAGAATATCTCAGTAGGAGTATTCCCTTCCATCAATCAGAGTTGTTCCATTGGGCTGATGACTGTGTTATTCTGTTACAGAACTCTACTAGATCGTGTGTCTACTTTACTTAAGTTCCCAAAGTCTCCCAAACTGGAAAAGATCTTGCCACCTTTAAGCCTAACATCACGAGTAACGAAGACAGAAAAAATGAAGAAAGAGAGAGCGCAGCAGATTGCAGCTTTGGAGGCAAAGAAAACGAAACAACCTGGTGTCGTAACAGTGAACTAAGTGTCAAGCTTAGTGTGATAAACTCGCCTATTGTGTTTGATTACAGCTTACCCCGCTTCATCTGTCTGAGGAAGAGCATGTACTAAAATAGAGACATCTCCCTATAAAGGAAATACAAATATTCTTTCTTTAGTTCATTCTGATATTCATCATATCCTTCACAATTTGATTTCAAACTCAAATCTTCAAAATAGGTTTCATTTATATAGATACGGGTTTCATCCATTCTAGGTTCTTTTAAAATAGCTTATGTAAAATATTTTTTTAAATAACATATTGAATTGCTTTTAAAAAGATTTCAGGCATTCTTTCAATACTTGAATGGAAATTAAGATGATATCACCAAATTGTTGACAAGGTAAATTAATCTGTTTATTTCTGTTAAAAACCCTGTAAGAAATACAAGTAAAGTTTGGTTACCGAATGTTTCAATCCTAGTATGGCCGTTTTTTTTCTTTTTCTTGTATATGTTACATAAATATTAATGTGTATCACAGTTTTTCTCTCCGTCCAATATTTTTTTGTTATAAAGCATTCCGCTATTGTCTGTGATATAATTACTGTTTACAGTAGAGTATGAGTTTAATTGATTTTTTTTTGTGCGACAAATATTCAACAATTATGTGCAAATAATAAGAATAGAAATATTTTCTTATATAAGTAATTGCTGGAATAATTACGATACAGTTTACGATATTGTTGAGAAATTAGACTAATATCATGTAACGTGGTGGAAGCTGCTGAGAAAAAAAAAGACTCATTTGAGTGAAAACTCCTGAGGAATAAAAATGCTATTACTTCACATAGTGGGGGCCGCGGTGGCCAAGTGGTTAAGGCGTCTGACATTCTGTTACCACTAGCCCTCCACCGCTTGGTCGCGGGTTAAGGACCCACGTGCGGCAGTCGCCAGGTACTGGCTGTTGGTCAGTTGTTTTCTCAGGGAACTCCGGCTTTCCTCCATCACCAAAACCTGGCACGTCCTTAAATGACCATAGCTATTAGTAGGACGTAAAACACAAACCAAATTTTACATAGTGGAAACTACAGGGGAATAATTATAATTCTATAATTATTTTATACGAGTATTAAGATTATTTTTATATGGTGTTAACTGCTGAGGAATAAATCTGCTGTTATTTTACGGAAACTGATGAGGAATGAGCTTGCTATTTATTACATGGTGGAAACCACAGAGGAATAATTATAATTCTACAATTATTTTACATGATGAAAACTGCAGAGAAAGAAAAAAAAATCTTTCATGTTCCATTGTGAAAACTGCTGAGGAATAAACCTGCTGTTATTTTTCATGGCGGGGACCACAGGGGAATAGTTATAATTCTACCATCATTTTACACGGTAAAATCTGCTGAGGAGAAAGATTACTTTTATATATGGTGTAATCTGCTGAGGAGAAAGATAGCTTTTATATATGGTGTAAACTGCTGAGGAATAAGAAGCATTATCAAGTAATGTTTTGGTGAATAATTTCTATATTTTGAAAAATATAGTGAAGCTGATTATCATGGATAGCTTTACATTCTTGTGTATGACATTTAACAGCTAGTTCTAAATCATCATGTGTTAATTACAAACTGTACTAGTTGTTGTTGTTGACAAATAGCTTGGTGTAATCAGCATTTTGTCCTATAAAAATATGTATATATATTATACATGTATATCTTTATTTATGTATGTTGTGTTCTGACTGTGTTCTAGTTACAAATCCTCCATGTGCTGCCAAACAAAATGATTGTATTATAATTCAGAGCACCTTGCTGACAGCAGAGGACTATTTCTTTGATCCATTTAAATCAATCAGAAATAGAAACTATACATTAATGTACGTATGATACCAGTGATCATGTTGTTTAAAAAGCCTTAGTCTTGTGATATTTCTGAAAAATCCGATTTGATAGTGTGATCTGTTTTCCCTGCATAATTAATTACCTTGGGGAATGTGTTTATTCTGTTTACCGTCATGAGCGGTAGACGCAATCAGTCCAGTTTGGACAATTTTTCTTGAATTATTTTTTTCACTATTTTTTTATAATTTGAAATTTTACAACCTGGTTCTACGATATCAATGATAACCCGATATTTCTTTACCAAGCAACACATCTAAAACATGTCTTCTCCACTGTCCAACAACTTTTTTAGATTGGTGGATGTTGATACAAGTTAAAGTGTTGGTAAAGATACTGAATACGATATATACCCCACTCCCACCTCAGCTCGTTTTGATATAATTTGACCAAACACATTTTTAATGAAAATATTATTTGAAAACTTTTAGAAAAAAAATTCCTTTAACTTGTGAATTTCACTTATTATGATCCATTTTTCTATGTGCTTGAATATTTTATATATTGTATATGAAAATGTTTTGTATTATCGATTTTTTCCAACATTACCAGCAGATTATTATTCTCTCATCCTCTATTTGTGTCTCATCATGTTAATGTCAAATTCATCACTCTGCTTTAAAAAAACACTTCTCTCTGTGAGAAAAGTTTGATTTTCATCCTGTATTTATTAGTGTTACATCGCCTGCTTGTATTATCATGAAATGATTTGTAGCCTACATATCAACAGTATTGTAGCTTATAAGTATAACACAATCAGTGTTTGTAGCCTACATACCAACAGTATTGTAGCCTAGTATAACACAATCAGTGTTTGTACAGTTCATGTTTATGTAGCTGTATATATAGGACGGACTACGTGTCGTGTACGCGGCAGGCATATTTTACCTAGTGTCAGTGTTCACACACCTAGAAGTTAGTGATACACCCGCAAATATGATATTTGTTGTTGTCAAAGGGTGATTTCGTGATTGTATCATTATTTTATTTTTTTACCATTTTATTTTTTAAACATAAGTTTGCAGTTATATTCTAATAAAACTAAACCATGAAATGGTTTAGCTGTTACTTAGTGTGTTGTAAGCACACAAATTATCTGAAGAGTATGTTATTCTTAATGCACAATACATCTTACATGTACTGTCACTTGTACTTAAAATATCTTGTGTATGGTCACTTGTACTTAAAATATCTTGTGTATGGTCACTTGTACTTAAAATATCTTGTGTATGGTCACTTGTACCCAGAATATCTTGTGTATGGTCACTTGTACTTAAAATATCTTGTGTATGGTCACTTGTACTCAAAATATCTTGTGTATGGTCACTTGTACCCAGAATATCTTGTGTATGGTCACTTGTACTCAAAATATCTTGTGTATGGTCACTTGTACTCAAGATGTCTTATGTGTATGGTCACTTGTACCCAGAATATCTTATGTGTATGGTCACTTGTACCCAGAATATCTTGTGTAGGGTCACTTGTACTCAAAATATCTTGTGTATGGTCACTTGTACTCAAGATGTCTTATGTGTATGGTCACTTGTACCCAGAATATCTTATGTGTATAGTCACTTGTACCCAGAATATCTTGTGTGTATGGTCACTTGTACTCAAGATGTCTTATGTGTATGGTCACTTGTACTCGAAATTTATTACGTCACATGTATGGTTACTTGTACTCAAGATATCTTGTGTGTATAGTCACCTGTACACAAAATATCTTGTGTAGGGTCACTTGTACCCAAAGTATCATATTTTCATTGTCACCTGTCTCAAAATATCTGATGAGTACAATTAGTTTAATGACTTCTATCCAAGTCTGGATTAGATTAATTAATGTGAAGCTGAGCACTTAAGCTTCTTACTTTCCTAAGCTGTACAGATGTTTGCAGTAAATATGATGATGTTTGCAGTTAATATGATGTCCCCGTCCAGCCAGACTTCAGCGTCAGTTACTATTAAGTCAGTAACAGATAAGAACAAAGAATATGTTCTAGAAACTTATCATCTTATACATATACTGTGTATATGATGTCATATTTTATTTTACTTTGCACACCTGTAGCAATATATATATATGATGGCATTAGGTATGTCAAATGGTTTACACATCCAGGCCACCTCACCTGTTCTCAGAATAATCTGATATTATACTCTCTATACGTCACTAGTCACTATACACTTTTTCACTGTCACCGAGAACGCGCAACATGTACAGATTTGTTGTTTCCGTCCATATCGTCCATTTCCTTTTTATCAAACACTGTAAAAGCACAAAAAAGAAAGTTTTTCAAATGAACTTTTTATCATGGTATTTTTCATTCAGCATATTTATTGGTAAGATGAGTAATGTATGCATATAGCTATTCTAACTAAATACATAATGTTGAGGAGATCATTGTAAGGGAGGTAACTCATGTAAGTCACAGGTATAACGGCTAGGTAGCACGTCCTTATATAAATAGAATAATCACTGTCCTGTATACAATATCAGTACCGTGGTCCTACTGGATCATTTCTGTGGTTGTGCTGTAGTAAATGTTTTTTAAAGACAAGTGGTACCCGTTACAATAGAGGCCAAAAGTAGTAAATGGAGTTTTTATAATAAAAATTTAATGTTTTTAACATCAAAGTATATAATGCAACTTTTTCTGCATATGGATAGATTTTTTGTTTAAAAGAAATATCATTGAAGCATTAATCTTTCTTCTTCCAATTTTTTCAAATATATTTTATTCAAAATAGGATTATAACCTATGGCAAAATTTATTTTAGGGATATTTCCGTTTTTATTTTCGCCAAAGTGGTGAACTATATACTCTCATCAAATAGTTTCCTTTATCTATATATCCAATATATTTGTATTTTTAATGTTTTTTGAGGAAGTTTATAAAGAAGCATTGTATTGAATTTGCTAATGGTTGTATTGAGGCTATTGTTTTTGGCGAGCGCGTGACTCATGATCATGTGACCAAGATTTGAGGCTCTTATAGATTGACATTGGTCATGTGACTTGTGCTGTCACCCATGGTTGTGTGACTCAGCCCTGTTTGGATAAGTCGACTAAAACAACGTTGTTATTTATGAATAAATGTGAAATATGAAGTAAGACTTTCTTGTTTATTTGGTGATTACCTAAGACTAAGTTGAGCTAAAGCTAATGTGCACTATATCTTGTCCGTCATTCTGTTTATCATTTTGGATTGACAGACATTGCTAGGTCCTTTACGTTTATGCAGACCAACCGGTTTTTTTTTTAAAGTGTAGCATTTTCGGGTATAAATCCTGGCGGACCTGCAAATGTTTATGCAGGCCTTGCAAGGCTTTGTCAGAGCTCGCCTGAAAGCAGTATCAGCTTAATAGGTCCGACCTTGTTTCATAAACAAACCAACTGAGGTTCAACAGTGGATCACAATAAACGAAAGTCGCCCTGGCCAATTCTTAGCTAACCTGCATGCGAGAAAGGTGAACAACCGCTTATACTTGTTCTTCCGTATGTACAGTACTTTCTATATCTGAAAAAGACAGATGGGCAGTCCAAACTATTTCTTAATAGTTTTTAATTGTTGAATTTATTCATAATAAGAATGGTATTTGTTGATTGAAGTTAAGCAAGGTCGTAATACCAAAAGGCCACTTCTTGATAACAATATCTTTTTCTTTCTGGTAAAAACAGCAAAATATCGTATGTAATATCAAAGGGCACTGGTAGTGTATACAATATTGTTTGTAGATGCAAAAGAGACCTGCTGTTTTAAAAATATGTATTAAGCCACTGAGACCTGTAGTTTATAAGTTACATGTGTACAACGCTGTACTCGGATATAACGCTGCAGAACCGCTCAAGATACTACTGTCATTTGATGATGTCATTGTTTCAGCAAACTTTCAAATAAATCAATGTGTTTCGCCATGCACTGAAAACAATCATTCTGAAGAATATGATGAACGATGTTTATGAGGGTCAAAGGTCACGTCAGACCATGTAAAATCCATATTGCTTCCTGCACAGATCCTGCCAGATGCAAGCTATAGCTGACAACTGTGTGCTGCTATATAAAAGTAGAGGCATATCTCGTTTCCCTTTGAGCACAGGAGCCTGAAGTTCTGTCAATAATGAATAATAAAAGTAATACACAAAAAATACCTATAATATGTTTTTAAGCATATTATAGATTTTCTTTGTGTATTACTGTTATTATTCATTATTGACAGAACTTCAGGCTCCTGTGCTTTGAGTTGCAAATTCTAAATGTTTCTACTGTGAAATACCCTGACAACAATATGAAGTCCATGCATGCCTATAAATACTGCCCGTTCATATTTCCCTGTCTTTAAATTGCAAACATGGTCATGATATTCCTCCATCATTCAGGCTTTGCATACTCATTATATATGTCTCAAGCACCTTCAACTGTAGTCAGCGTGCCTTGTGAAATACCTTCTGACTTGTCGAATGTGAGCTACCTCTTGTTCATTGTGTGTGTGTCTCAAAGTCCTTTATCTTTGTGCATTATTTCGTGGGTAGGTTGAAATAGGCTCAAAGCTTGCATCCGTTAAAGAGACAGACTTGTGAGGGATCCTGATGTTAACGTCTTTGCTTTACCCACATTGTACTCAAAAGCAAGTTTTGTTTTGCATTGTAATTAGCACATAGCACTTTTATCCCGAAGAAGTAAGAGAATACAGAATACAAAAGGGTAAGCAAAATGGTAACTCGAACTCAAAATCGAAAACTTACACGTTAATAACAGGTTTCCTCGCAGGTCTGCCTCTTAATTACAAAAGCACGAACACAGGTGAGATGCAAATTTACACAAAAAAATACAAGTGTTTTTAAATTGTGGGTGTCTTCGATCAGCTATATCGACAACACCCGACATGTAAATCTATGTCATATTCAAGTAATGTCTCGTCCTCAGTAAAACAAACAAGGCACGCTTATGATAAATAATCAAAACATCGACCATAATATCACATAAGGATATAGAACATTTCCCAATGAGCTCATAATGGTGATATAGAACTTACCAACAGTCTTCCATCACCCGTCTCTCTAGAAACCCCTTGTTGTAAATTTGTCTTCATTAGTCAAGTCAGTCACGGGAATTATGCTATTGGGTGCAATTTCAGTCTTGAATGCAAATTTAAATGCAACATGTTAACACAATGGTTCATGTTTCTTTAAAGAAAAGGGCACTTCCATCGGAAACCCGAAGCCGTCATGCTTATCTTACTGTTTATCAGTGAGCCGATGGCCCATCGTCGAACTATCTGAAAATTGAAGGACTTGCATGGCAATATTTCGTTACTAGTCCTGATCAGCTCTTCAACATATACAGCCTCGCATGTAAACGAAAATAAGCCGACCAGAAGGGCACAATTTGTTACCATAGGAATGCCCACAGTCTGCTGGAAAATCTTGCCATTGAAGATAGTGTCAGCAAGGAACTCAGTCATTCTCAAGATTTCAATCTCAGTATATTTTCATCTGGGCCTTTGTCTTGTTTCTGCAAAATGGGCTCCAAAATTGCTGACAACGTTTTCTCCCTTACTTCACAGGGTGATCGCTGTGTTGCCAGGGAAGAGATAACTCTTTCCTGCATACTAGACCGAGATATCCGCAAAGCCTTGGGTCTCCTGCTCATTATTTTATCCCTTGGGACTGAATTACCATATCCGTACCTCACATTAGGAATGGATTCTATTAATCTCTTTATATCACTATTCGCCTTTCTTGGTAAAGAGAGCTCTCATAGTAAAGAGAATCAAGACATAATATCAGTTAGATTTGAGATATGGTAGTGTAAAAAATGGAAAAGTCAAAGGTTCTGATAGAAGAAACATATTGTTGATGAGAATTGCTCAAGATTTCCAAAAATATTTTTTGAGTTTTTCAAAATCCACATTTCATTTATTACACTTCGAAAGTATACAGTATCGTAATATGACTGTAATCATATGTGGAAACAACGTATTTAATTATTTTTGTAAGTAAGAAGTATTGATGAGACAGGACCAACTGATTAACCCTTTCACCCCTAGGTAACTTTAGTGGACTCTACCATGCATTTATTAGGATGAGTCCAATATGGTCTATGGTGGTGAAAGGGTTAAAGCCATAATCAAGGGCAAAGGGCAGATGTTTGTTTCCTGTTTGTCCGGTTATATTTTGTAACTTTTCAAACAAAAAGTAGATAGTTGACTCATGCTTTCATCTCCTTTCATTTCTAATTTTAGATGGATCCTTTTTTTGTGAATGATCGCTATTTTCCTTTAAATGTCCGATTGTTTGAATAGAGTTTATCGAATGTTTCGTATCGATTAAATTTTATAGCGAAAGGAATCATGAGACTGAGATTGGAAACCCGACCAGGGATTTTAGGTATACTACGTTTACATTTTCATTTGGTTTACCGTGATGTAGAGAAATATCCATTACACAATGCAGATGTCCTCATATATTTCAGTCGTCATTCTTAAGTTAACATTTAACACTAAATTATATAACATTCTATTCCTTCAATGTATATGGGGGTTTTTCAGAAGATAAACTTGCTCTTCGATATCTACACCAAAAGGATAATAAAGATCATTCTTACGCAAAAAGGACTTGCCGAGAACTTCATAAAAGAAAGGAAATGGAAAAACATCGCATCGTACAGCTTTCTTCTTCAGCAATCCATTAAGCTGTGAAGAACGAACATAGTTTTTTTTCAGCATGATACTTTATGTGTATTTGACAAAGAACATGGTCTTGCGAAATTTAAAGCTTATTGGTTGGGAACCGTGAATCGGCCCAATTTGGCACCACTATTTTAAGAATGTATATGCTAGATTATATTTTTGTTCAACTTTTTTTAAATTATACTCTGGAAACGTCCTAATATGGTCTTGAATTTTGCTTTTGGTTATATTCAAATGAAAACTAAAAACTAGATAAAATAGCTTAAAAATGATATTTAGAAAAAGTATGTTGAATGAAAAGGATTTTTTCTTAAAGACATATATTATGGCGTTATGGCGAAAAGTTCCCTGCTTAGGTTTAGAAAACAGGTATAATCTTCACACTGACATATACAAAACGTTCTATTTCGCAGCTTCCTTTGTCACAAAAGACTTCAAAAGTTTGGCGGACATTTTGAATTTCGATATAGGATTTTTTCTTAAGTTTTGTTTTATTTGGTTTGTGAAGTCATGATGCACCTTTATGTAGGGTTTAAAACATAACCTATAATGTAGCTTTTTATATAAACTTCTCGGGTACAGTCCCTTCTCGGGTACAGTAACCTTCTCTGGTACAGTAACCTTCTCGGGTAGTAACCTTCTCGGGTACAGTACCCTTCTCGGGTACAATAACCTTCTCGGGTACAATAACATTCTCGGGGACAGTAACCTTCTCGGGTACAGTCACCTTCTCGGGTAGTAACCTTCTCGGGTACAATCATCTTCTCGGGTACAATAACCTTCTCGGGTACAATCATCTTCTCGGGTACAATAACCTTCTCGGGTACAATCATCTTCTCGGGTACAATAACCTTCTCGGGTACAGAAACCTTCTCGGGTAGTAACCTTCTCGGGTACAATCATCTTCTCGGGTACAATAACCTTCTCGGGTACAATAACATTCTCGGGTACAGTAACCTTCTCGGGTACAGAAACCTTCTCGGGTAGTAACCTTCTCGGGGACAGTAACCTTCTCGGGTACAGTCACCTTCTCGGGTAGTAACCTTCTCGGGTACAATCATCTTCTCGGGTACAATAGCCTTCTCGGGTACAGTAACCTTCTCGGGTACAGTACCCTTCTCGGGTACAGTAACCTTCTCGGGTACAACAACCTTCTCGGGTACAATAACCTTTTCGGGTAGTAACCTTCTCGGGTACAGTAACCTTCTCGAGTACAATAACCTTCTCGGGTACAGTAAACTTCTCGGGTAGTGATGCACCTTTATGTAGGGTTTAAAACATAACCTATAATGTAGCTTTTTATATAAACTTCTCGGGTACAGTCCCTTCTCGGGTACAGTACCCTTCTCTGGTACAGTAACCTTCTCGGGTACAGTAACCTGCTCGGGGACAGTAACCTTCTCGGGTACAGTAACTTT